AAGAATGACTGTATATTGCTTCAAAAAAATTTGAATAGAATTCTGGAATGGTGTAACAGAAATAAATTCAAATTTAATGGTTCTAAGTGCTGTTGTTTAAGCTTTGGTAGGCAAAAGAATTTGACAATCTTTAAGTATAAAATGTAAAATTCTATCTTAACATCGGTAGGTAAAATGAGACACGTCGGAGTAAGTTTTGACTCTGTTAGTTATGGTTTAAAACACATGAAGATTGTATAAGGAAAACATCATGTCGAGTTCCTGGAAAAACAGCTATATAGCATATGTCAGGAGCATTTTACAGTATGCCATCGTCAAATGAATTTCTGAGATTATAAAGTAATTTTAGTGTACGATGTCATCATAACTAAACCATAATTAATGCGAAGATATAAACGGCCAAGTTTGACAAAATGGTTCATAGTAAAATTGATGATATAAATTTACTATCACTTGTAAATTTTAATGTATGTAATGTATGTAATATTTAATGTAACGTGTTTAATGTAACGTGTAGACTAGTGATAATTATAATCAGAATGCACGTGATATCTTTAATGTAACTTATATCACAACGGCGCGAAATTTTGCAGGACACACTGTAATTGATATTTTTTATTTCTATGTTGTATATACTGACATGTGTGCGCGTAAGAGGTATGCTGACGCTATGATTAGGTTCTGTTATACCTGTTTGTGAGCAAATAAATAAAATAAACAACTACAATAAAAACATACGTTGAACGTAGATTGCTGATTGCTGATTTCAGTTCACTTAAAAAGCCATTCGTCTAGTTAACCTAACTAATTTTAAATTGTGAATTAAATTTTGGTCGTAAATTCAATGTCTTGTAAAGGACAAAAGGGCACCGTACATTTTGTTGGGATGAGGAGGGGTAAACATCGCGGAGGTCTCCTGTAATAATCTGGTGTTAATTAGAAATCAGAAGCGTAACGAACAGACCTTAAAGAGTACACAGTAACTCCATCTATCTAGTTCTGATAATTAACCACCACTCGCCCTTTGCCTTGCTGATGAAATTAGCAATATGCATATAAATTTGTTTCGCGGTTTATCGATTCTTTCACGCTTTCGAGGTGGAAGCGCCAATAATTGACAAATAAAACGTAAAAGAATTTTTTTTCAAAGAAACTTGCACAGGCTATGGAAACGCTACGTCGATGATACTTTCGTTATTTGGCCTCATGGTCAAGAAACCCTAGTAGATTTTCTTAGACTTTTAAACTCTATACACCCTAACGTACGTTTTACTATTGAATTGGAAACTAATAATAACATTGCATCCTTAGATAATCTTATCAATAGAAAATCACACCTAACATTGGGTCGTTGTGTTTACAAAAAACCTACGCACACAGACCGATACCTTAATGTATTGTCACACAAAATTTTATTCGATAAAACTAAAATTCTTGCATGTAATCAATTTTTCTACCAACGAAAAATCCTGGAATCTATCGAAATATATTAAGAACCCAACAATCTTAATGGCGACTCAGGTCTTTATCTGTCACCAATATGGGTAAAGTCTGTTCATAGATATAAGAAAGTGACTAGCTGATACGAATTAAGGAAAGACCCGGGCAAGCTGTAAGAATGAAATATGGCCGAACAGGTCCGTACTTTGCTTAGAATTTAATTATTTGGAGTTTTGTTAGGAAAAATACTAAACAATATTTATTTATTTATGTATGTATTTAGGTTTAAATCTTAAATAAAATTACAAATTATTTTTATTACCTAAGCCGTATTATATCTTGATGATTTTCATCTACACTGGAGAAAATGTCAGCATCGCTTCTTTTTTTCCTCGCTGAAATGGGATTACTCACAATTTTCCATACAGTTGATGTTGGAATTTTCGTCTATGTGGCCATTTCTTCTAAAGATACTTGTTTGCTGACACCACGTTCGATGAGAGCCAAATAAACATTGTTTTTAACTTCCTTAGTCTCAATAGAATAGTGTTTTCTACATTTAGGCGAGAGCACCCCCTGAGATACAGTAGACTCGCACACACGCTGTATTACACACGAAATAAGGATGATTACTAATAAACTTAAACTAAGTGGTATACCAAACCAAAGAATATTAAACACAGGTAGGTATGAAATTATTTTCTATTACGGAGCACAACTTTACCTGAATTTAAATTCCGAAACTTTAGGTAATAAACTTGTTGCATTGTATGTTAATGACCCCCTTGGATAATACCATTCAAAAGCAATTGGTCACTTTCTTATATCTATGAACAGACCATACAGAGTAAAATGCGGGCCAGTTTCAGTCAAGCTTTGAAAAAGCCAACAGGATGATTGGCAAAACGTCAGCAAGTTCGACGCAGGAGGAATCCAGAAGTTTTGTAAAAAGTAAAAGAATATTACTATTAAACTGATTTAAATACTACATAATTCGATTCCAAAAAATTTTGCAAATGCGATAAGTTCCGAGAAAAAAGTGATTTTTCTTCTGATTTTGTGTATTGATAACTTTACCATATACGAAGCAACAAGGTATAACAATGATACGTGTAGAAATATTTTTTTATAGAAAATATACTAAAATTGTTGTAGTTGTATCTAAATAATTTTTTTTTTCTAAAAATATGAGATTGATTGTTCCTCAGGCTCACTTTTTTTATAAATAAATACTACCCAATATGGGTCGACACTGTGCCAAATCTGATCCGAAGAAGTGTTTTTGATTAAGTAAGTATTCTACTTATTTCTTACCCTATTACAACCTCTATTGTATTGTAGCTTCGTCGTGCCTCAAATGATGATTTTGTTTCATGGGCATAATAGACCATTAGTAAATATTACTTCTGTTTGTGTTTAATTTCTTAAATCTGATCTTGATCTTGGATTACTAGTAATCAAAAGTTGTCCTCTTAAACCGCCAAAATAAATAAAAACCCCTAAAAAACCCCATAAGTATATGTTATTATAGAAGATTATTTTAGCGAGACGATTATGAATTATTGTCTAGACAATCCTGTTTCCTTAGAAGCACTTAAAGTGTTTTGTTTTTAAACGAATTACACTCAATGGACTTACTAATGTCTCATTAATCTGAAAATACATACTTAAAATTCACTGTGTGGAATCAGATAACAAAAAAAACTGACTTGGTAGAATAAATGAATAAGATGTTAAAATAGTTAATTAAAAAGAAAATTTGAAAAGAAACTCAAATTGCTCGATTCATATCGTAAAACTTGGGTTATTGGGATGATTTCATTAACTAACGAAGGGCATAACTTCGAAAAGCAAGTACTATTTGGGACTTTGAAAGATTTTAGACGGTCAAATGATATAAGACTCCAACTTTCCAAATATTCTGTAAAAACAATAATGGATAAAACCCAGTGGGTGAACTTAATTTTTTAAATTTCATATAATTAATAATTACAAATATCATAAATAAAGAGACTTTTACAGTGCTGAATGTCCACAGGCTGAATTGCTTACACTTCTCCACCACTTGCCAACAAGTTGATTGGTGTTTTTTTTAGAATAGCTAGAAAAAGGACCAATCATCTAAATATGAATTTTAACAATTTCTATTCGTCGCGGAGAGCAAACAAGAATAATCCTTCAGTTTTGGTAAGAACGTGCTTACTTGAAATACTATGCAATACTATTATGCAATAGCTTTATGACATGCATTAATGATAATAATAATATTAATAATAATATTTACTTCAATCAATAAAAATATACAATTTAACAACTTATTGTAATGTAAACACTAAATAAATATTAATACAAAAAAAACACTTATACTCAAGGTGTACAAGTTAAAAATGTGACAGCCATCCTTGAACATAACGCAGATTAATTTAATTTTGTTTCTCATCTATTGTATAATATGAAAAAAAAAACATAATATTCTACCAAAAAAAAAAAAAACGATTTTATATATTAACAATACATTAATGAATTTGCGAATAAGTTACAATTTAGCATCAGCCCTTAGTTATTTTTTTTGATGATTTGAATTTTATTTTATTTTTCAGTTCTAGAGGTAATGCGTTATAATTTTTTTGACCAGTATAGAAGTAAGTTATCCTTTTGTCCAACAGATAAATGCATTTTTTTTATTCAATTTTCTGCAAGTTTAAAGCGTGTTTTACACTCGTGAGTTTTTGAATTAACTAATAAGTTATTTTTTATTAAGAACAAAAGGGATTATTTATAACATAAATTTTTTATGTGAAGTATTTGAAATTGAGTAAGAGTCAGATTGATATCGCAGATTTAACTTAAATATAATTATCAAAATTCTTTTTTGTATTACGTAAAAAGGCTGAAGAGTTGTGTGATAGGCAGCACCCCAACCAATTATTCCACAAGATGTAAGTGATTGTAACAGTGAAAAATAAGTAGAAAGTAGTAGTTGCTTATAAGATATTTTAATAAGTTGCCGGAATAAACACATTCAGGATCGTAACTTTTTCACTAACTGTTCGATATGGAAGTTCCACTTTAGATTTCAGTCAATATCAATTCCTAGATAGGTAACATGCTCAGCTCTACGTAAAGACCAGCAACTGTTTCTAAACCATAGTTTTATAGCAAGTTTATTGTTTGTCGGTAGTCGATCATTATAGTTTGAAAAGGCAAGTATTGTGTTTTATCTAAGTTAATTGTTATTAAATTATTGGCAAGCCACTGTGACATAAGTTGCAAGTTCGAACTAATGCGGTTTTCGACTTCGTCCCGCTGTATCACCAGCAGAAGAGATGATTTTACTGGAAACATCAATAGTTAGAAGTTGATTCATGTATACAAGGAAAAATATGGGTCCTAGGACTGTACCCTGTGGAATTCCATGAATGATATGGTTTGATAAGGAGCGAAACAGTCTTCAACAGAATTAAATGAAGTTACATAAAAAAGTTTTCCCTCAAACTAATTAATGAAACTGGTCAGGAAAACTACAATTGCCTCAAAATTTTGCCGGAATGTTTACTTACTATTAAAATGCAGATATTCATGTTATCTCAGTCTCCACTTCCTGGTAAGAAATTTTGTCATTGTCTGTTTCACTTTCCACAATTCAGACGCAGACGACCGAAATTCGCATGACATGGGAATACGCTCAAAAAAAATAATAGTATTTCAAACTCGATCCCACTAACTTGCCCCGTTTTCGGTTCCGGTATGTTTCAGAAAGCATAAAAAAATCGCAACGTTACGCCGTACATAAATTTTTGATTAATTTTGCGGCGACAATTATTCAGCGAACTTTGCACAATAATTCCATGTAAAGTTCACGCTCCGGTCGGCTCGATATTTTACGCGCCCCGATTTGTTTCAGGGTTGCACAAAGTACTGAAAACTGAAACCCCCAACGTTGGTTAAGTTTCAGCGCCATGTTGAGCCTGCGTCTTTCCTTCTTTACGTCACAATCGATATGGAGCTTGGCTTACGGGCGACAGAGGATGATATCTAACTATAGAACAATTTGGAAAAAATCTATTTCGGCTTATCTTTTATTTATAGGGAATAGTTCTAGATTCGTTAGATCGGCGCCTTGTCTGACCGACCCGAAAACAAAATATTATAATTTTTTTCTCGTTTGCCACACAGTAATAAAATGTAAATTTGAAGAAAATGAGTTCAAAACTTGTAACTAGTCCGATGGTGATAAATTGTCATAACCGTAGCAATGCTATTAAAATTTTCATCTGTTCGTAGGTATTTGTATGAATATATACTGTTGCATTGCACACTGTATATTTGTAATTATATAAATAATAAATACATATTAAATAGAATTAGTGGCCAGAATAGTTTGAATTTGTGCTGTCACTATAATCCAAGGATTTAATTAATGTCCCAGGTTTTCTTTATCATTATTTTCCATGATTAACACATTCTCTCCAACTGTCCTCTGAAATTGGGCCGGCTTTTTTGGGTTTATATTACTGCTTATAATTTTGTTTTTAATTCGGAAAATATCGTTTTCAATGTTTTTTGCTGAAAGTTGCTAAGCGTTTGGCGCCCAGCGTGTCGAACCAAGTCTCCTCTAAATAATATCTAAAGATTTTTATCTATATTCCACCAATCGTTGGGTCGCTTTAATACACCTACGCTAGTCAATATTTTTTAATCTAAAGCCCGGTAGCCGATAAAAATTGCTCTTAAAAATGCATGTATTTTTAAGTGGATGCACGATGCAATTTTTTTATGCAAAATGGGCTGGATTGGTGGTGTTTTTAAAAGTTATTTTTTAAATGTTGATACAATAAACGAGACACATTAGCTTCTGTTAGTGTTAAATGGCTAAACTTTATACAAAATTACTTTTACCAAGCATATAATAACTCGTGGGTATACCGGCAGATCTAAATTAAGTGTTCATCATTTGTAATTTTGTTATGAGTAGAGATACAAAGTCTAACTAACCAAAACTAGGCAGTAGCATTTTTTCACTGATTACGATGGTGAAAACAGAAAAACAATTGAATATATTGTTTACAAATGAAGAAAATGTACTCTTTTTAAATGGATCGACAAGAATCAATTTGTATATGTTCTTAATAAGAAAGTAATAAAACGTAAATTTTATGAAAATTATTTATAATTATGGAGATTATATAGAATATGTGCTTTCACTATCCTTCAATGGTTTTACGTGGTCCCTATTTTTGTTTAATATTATTTTCCACTTCAAGTACATGATTGACACATTCTCTCTAACTGCCCTCTGATATTAGTTCAAACAGAATTTTAATTACATCAATTACATGGACGGACATTTTTCTGTTAATATTCCTGGGTCTAACTTTGTTTTTTAATTCGGGTTTATGATTTCGTCCACGGAATAAGTTTTCTTTGGTTCTTCTTTCTTCTTTCTTCTTCTTCTTAAAACGTTTTTTTTTTGTACAAGTATTTTCGAAATAAAGCAACTGAAGAACTCTTGCAATGCAGAATCCCACTAAACACGATGCAATTTCTACATGTATTTTTAGCAGATAAAAAATGCTGTTAAAAATGCATGTATTTTTTAACTCTCAATTTTTTTATACAGTTTGTTTTTAATTTTGATACAATAAACCATACTTTCTAGCTTCCGTTAATGTTAAATGGGTAAACTTTACACAAAAATGATGTTACCACGCAAATAATACTTACAATTCTTTTCGATTTGCTGATGTTTTGACAATCATCCTGTTGGGTAAACAGATTCAGTTAAGTTCTGAAGAAGCCAACAGGATGATTGGCGAAACGTTAACAAGTTCGATTCATCAACACCCGACGCAAGAGGAATTCAGAAGATTTGTAAATAGAAGTTTCTTTGAAAAATTGTCGGTGTATAAGAAAAATCCATAATCCCAATAATAGAAACGAGAGATGAGGATGTTTGAAGTGTTGAATAAAATCCAATGTATATTAATTTATGTGTTCTTTAAAACTTTTAGCGCAATTCTTTTAAATTTAGTTTTTTAAAACAAATTGTATATTTCCTTCTAACAGTTCTTAATTTTCGGGCTTATATTTTTCAATAGCTACAGTTTTTTAAACAATATGTGTATTGGCAATTTTAACAATAATATATTTAAAAGGGCAAACTTTCAACTATAGTTGCTAGACTTACCATGAAGGAATGAGCGTTCTGTCTATAGGAAGTTGTGCAGTTGCTTCACGAAAATTTTTTCACTGCGATATCTAGTATCTCATCAAGTTATATTTATTAAAACGAACGCTTTGCGCCGTTTTAGACGCACAAATTCAGCAAACAATAGCTGGTAACTTTATCTGCCAAATTTCTTGCAATTTGTTGGTAGTCACTTTGCAGTATTTACACAAAAATCCGATTCTATGCAGAAATCAGAACAATGTCAATGTCATTCATCGTCGATTTTCTTTTAATTTCTCTTGCGATGATTTACGTGACGGAATCTGATTCCTTAAATACACCGCATACACTTCCCTGCGAATCCGCTCTGCGTCACCGTCGCTAAACACTTTCATTATGCCCTGGTCCGATCTTTCCATACTTTCTAGTAAATCATTATTAAGGAATCGACACAAGGTTGACCTTGGAATGCCAGTTAACGCCACTGTCCTCCCAATCATAGCTTTTATATCCTATCACGGTTTTTGACAACAATATAAATTATTACTATTATTATTATTAATATGAAAATAGATAAATTGTAGTATGTATTATTTATTTTGTAATTTTTATAAATTTTGGAAATTCTTGTCATAATGTTCCGAGTAAACTGTTGAACTATAGTTACTGGAGAAGTGATAATGGGCTTGATAATGTTTTCTAGCATGTTATCATCTTCCCATGTTTACAATCGTCCTAAGCGCTCCATTTTACTTCTGATATTACGCAAAGGGCTAAATATGTACAAAAACAATAGCTTAATTAATTGATAACTAGAACCAAAAAAAAATTGGTTAATTTTTGAGGTGGGCCTCCTTGCCCCAGGGGGGCCGCCTTGCTCCACACTCCACTACATTTCCTACTTTCTCATAAATTTAAATAAATTGGACCTCGACCTCGGAAATGTGATTTAAAAAAAATTGCAAACGTTAATATGGTTAGCTTTTTGTGCCATCTAAATTGCATTTGGTTTCATTTTTATTTAAACTTTGAAAATAGACCACAAGAAAAAACAAAACGAGACTCATAAGGATTAAGCAGTATTATCAACTAACCAAAACAATTTAACTATTTTAAAATATGTATTTGTAAGTTAATTTGTTAGTCGCTGTGGGTGTAGAAATAATACAAACAAATTAAACTAAAAATGATTTTTATAATGATCTATTTAAACTATCGTGTAATGTACGATAATTATTATTAACACGACACACCTTAAAGCACATTTTAAGGTCGTTAATATAAAAAGTGGTATGACCGTTCACCGTTACGTTCAGTTTTCTTTCGGTGGTGGGTGTTCCGCAATATATTTTAAAGCTTTTAAAATGGCTTCCGGTATTGGAGGTATAGTAGGCAAGTGAGGTCCCTGAGGCTGAAATCCATTTTCATCGGCAACGTAAGTGAGTTCAATCTGAAAATTCAAAAAAAGTAGAAAACATTTTAGAAAAAAAAATTGCCACGCACCTGTTGATTGTCGTCGGATGGGTAGCTATATCTCCCTTGTACAGACTTGAAAACATTATCCGATCCTACTACCAGTTTGCCTGTCTCTTCAGCGGATATCCCACCGCTGGTTTCATAACTTAAAAATTTTTTTTTGATAATTCCAAGGCGAATAGGGATGCCGTTACTAGTGATAGAATAGTACATCCCAAATGAGTTTGCCCTTGAGAACCATTATAATCCATATTACTAAACTTCTACTATCATGTGACCTCTTTCGATGTTTTATATAGAATTCACACAAAAATTTTTGCTCCACCGTTGTTGAATTATACGGGGTGTGTTCAAAAAGTAAAGTGACTTTTCAGTTTTATCACAAAGTATTCGCTTATTTATTATTATTGTCCCCTTCAAAGTATTTCCCCCAAGATATAATACACTTGTACGAACTTTTTCTTCAATCCTCGAAGCACTTCTGGTGAGCACTTTCGGATGTTGCCTTGAATTCTTTCAGCGATTTTTTCTTCATCAACTCAATCTTTTCCAACCTTCGTTTCTTGAGTTTTTGGAAAAGGAAAAAGTTGCAGGGGGTCATATCCGATGAATATGGAGGCTGAGGCATGATTGTGGTTTTGTTTTTGACCAATAAATTAGACACAAGCAACGATGAGTGAGCAGGTGGATTATCGTGGTGCAAAATCCATTAATTATTTTCCCACAATACCGAACGTTTTCTTCGGATTGCTTCTCGCAAACAGCGCATAACTTCAAAATAATACCCTTTATTGACCTTACGACCTTGTGGTAAGAACTCTTGATGTACTACGCCACGATAATCAAAGAAAACAGTAAGCAAACACTTAACATTTGATCGAACCTGACGTGTTTTTTTCGTCTTGGCTCTTCCATTGGGACGACTAGGCTTTGGTTACGCCATTATAACTATATGCCCATAATTCGTCACCAGTTTAGACCTTTTTGAGCATATCAAAATCATCATTTTGCTGCTACACAGTTGTCCCAAAAACTTTGGAAAAAATGCATGGCAAGAGCCAATAGAGATGCCGACGTCTTCAGCCACTTTTCTAATAGTGCTTCGACAATTTTTCATCACCATTTGTTTCATTTCTTTAACGCTTTCATCAGTTAATGACGTGCTGGTCATCGTCGCCATTTTGGAACAACTTGAACCACTTATAAATTTTTTTTTTGCTCAAAGTAGATTCACCATATACCGTTTTCAATATTTTAAGTGTTTTGCAGCATTGTATTCGAACGCTTTTGTCTCACAAAAAAAGTAAACGTGCAAATTGGTTGAAACTGTGAACATATGTTAGTTACTCGTCTTACTTTTTGAACACACCTCGTAACCCCAGTTTTTGGAATAAAACGCCCTACTTTTTTTGTACTACCTAATAGTGATAAAATGGTCCTTTCAATGATATAGCTCAGTCGCTACCTTTTGTTTGACAAAATGTAAATTAAATTAATCTATCGTAATCCATTTTTACCGTTTTAATAAAGCATAAAAAAGTGCTCCAATAATTCTAATACATATAATTTTATCCCAAGAAATACAAGAGGTCATACGAAAAGTTAAATACGAATGTTGTAGCGACCTATTTGTTTAAAATTTGCTTAAATGGAAAATGTTGGAAAATTGTCGACAATTTTCAGAATTCTTTTTAAATTCTTTTTAATAAGTAAGTGAAATTTTAAAATTTTGTACTATTTCTCATTAATAACAGCAGTTTTTTATTTTCTAAAAATAATTAAAATTTTATTTAAAAGCCAATTGGGTTTTTATTCTAATTAAATAGATAAAGCGCTGTTTTGAAATTCTTGAATAAATAAATTTCTTACGAGTATTGATAGCCATCCGGAGATATGTCGTTAGCCGATTTAAGGGTTTGGGCTAATTTCGGATCAGCTTGTTGAGGAAGGGCCAAGGTGGCGCAAATCAAACCACAGACAACTGCCTGAAATAGAACATAATACTAGTTCATTGCACTTAGCACTTAACAAGAGCTCTTATTAAATAGAACTTTATTTTCTGCGCAATATTCATGTGATTATTTCGAATATGGCGACTCGACGAGGAAATTGGAAATAAACATTAAATATAGTCGTTGGCCATGTAATATAATCGATATATTGTTGCGATCAAAGTCGTTTTCCAAATCAGTTTCAATAAAAATGCAAATACACGACGTGTAGATCATCGGACGATTGCAAAATTAACACAATCAAAATTCAAAAATATGCAGATATGCAGTCTAGGAAATACGGCTCGGCATAATTCGTTGGATCATCGCTTCGTAACCGACTAGGATGAAATAAAAAATATTATACGTTTAACTGTGGTTTAATATTAAAAATATACTTTAATAGTATAATATCTTCCTGATTGACCAAAAATCAATGTTAATTGATATACATAAAACCAGAAAGTAAAAAATTATCCATTTTTAATATATATGACATTAAAATTTAACATTGAAGTTTTGGCGCATGAGTAAGAATCACTTGAGAAGGGCTTAGAAGTTATATATTTTTGATTTTAGTATTAAATCTACCATAAGAAATAGTGGCGAATGAACAGACAATCCTACTATAAAATAATTAATACAACTTAATTGAAATTTTAAGGTTAAAAATGTATTACTTGGAGGAATTAATTTTTCACTATTTCCACCATATTTAACATATGGACTTATAGTTTATAGGGCAGTGTTAAATACTCATTTTAAAAAGTAGATACTAAAAATAAGATACAATAAAAATAAAAGAGAGTAAAATTTTGGATCCAACCCAACTAAATGATAACTTTTCTACTTAAGCCCGAAGATTCACATATTAGTAAGCAATTTTTAAAATGTATGTATTTAAAAATTTACAAATCTTCTCGATTCCTTCTGCGTCCGTTGTTGATGAATAGAACATGCTGACATTTCGCCAATCATCTTGTTGGCTTCTTCAGAGCTAAACTGAACTGAAGAATTGGAGAAGATGATTGGTCAAACGTCATCAACAACCGACACCGGAGGAGTCCAGAATATTTGTAAGTAGTAGTAGTAGTAGTTTCTTTAAATAAATTAGCTAGTTTTATGACTCTGTCCTTTTTTTTGCTTTGTTATATTTACATTTCTAGATCATTTATATATTCAGTAACATAATTTTTTTGTTATTTTTAATTTTCAGCGGTTTTCCTTAGTTTTGCTGTTCTAAAATGGACCTCAAATGGAATTGATAAACAAATTTGATTTAGTATTGGGTTATTTTTATAATTTAAATTATTAAAAGCATAAATTCTAAACTGTACCTGTTGTACTGTATTATTTTGTCTAAAAACAATAATGAAAATATTAAGCGAGTATCTTGATTAAACTTTTTTTGACTTACCAATTTAAACATTTTGTGGTTTGCTGATCGAAACACAGATCAATTTCTAAAATTGGGAAACCGAATGTGCCACTTATATGAAGACGATCCCCACCTATAGAGGTAGATTTAAAAAGAACCCATTCCAAACTTGCGTATATGATTTTGGATGCAAATTTTTTTGTGCAATATCGATATGGAGTCTCGTTTACTAGACATCTTTCAAGCCGTTGCACAATTTGATGGCGTTTGCTGTACCACTTCGTCTTTCATTACAACGGACGTTGTTTCAAATTTAAATGATTTGACCTCTGATGTACTCATCTCGTAATACAAAAACAATGTATTTCCAATGCCTGACACATTTGAATTGTGATTGATTGTGATATTTTCAATAAATAACCGATTTTCGTAGCCAATATATATATTAATTGGTTTGCATTAGCAAGTAAATATTTCATCAGAATCCGTTAATAGTATTTTTCGTAGGATGAGAGTTTTATATTAAAAATTAGAAAATTATTGTTTTAAGGGAGAAAGCCTAATAAAGATTGTAGAGGTATTATATACAACATACATATATACAAAGTCATCAGTAACTGATCGTAGAAAAATTACATATGCGAATGTGCTTGGTCAAATTTTTAAGTTGATGCTTTTTACTACAATATAAACTAAGATAAATGCTGATGAGTTTTTATCCAAGAAATGACTGTCATCAATTGCGGTTTAATGGAGCTATAGTAATAAACTCTCTCCTTGAGAATCCGTTGATAGTATTTTTTCGTGGGATGAGGGTTCCACATTCAAAATTGGAAAGTTACAGTTTTTAAGGGAGAAAGCTTAATAAAGACTGTGGAGGTATTATATACAACATACATACATACAAAGTCATCTGTAAGTGATCGAAAAAAATGTACATATGCGAATGTTCGGGGCCAAATTTTTAAGTTGATGCTGTTTTACTAGAATATAAACTAAGTATCCTATTTTTTAATTTAATTTAATTTTTAAGTTTATGCTTTTTTGCTAGAAAATAAACTAAGTACCTTATTAACATCATGATATTATATAGCCCATAGAATATATATTATCTTCTAGCATCAAGCGCAGTGATGGCGGCTTTTAATCTGTACATTTATTTTTTAAATTTTGACACATGCTCTGAATGAAATTTTGAAACACAATGGTTTGGTAATTCTTGTCTCAGTAAGCTAATAATAATTATTCATAAATTTCATAAAAATAAGTTAAAACGATGCTCATCATAAAATTGACGACTATGAAAATAAATTAATAAGAATCTTACCTACTACCCCCCTGTTTCGGAAACTTATATAGTCTGCTACAGTGGACTAGATAGTAGCTTTCTATTTAGTACCTATTTAATAAGTTTAAATAACGATAAACAAAAAGAGTGATCCTGACCGTCTGAGAGTGATATGTGACGTAGCTCGTCTCTCAATCCAGATATTTAGTATAAGTTATATTGTTCTGTGATAGGAATATCCCTTTTCTGGCGAAATTAATCGAAGTTTTAACCATCCTTACTGATCCGTGGTTAAGTTTAAGACGTTGCCGCAACAATGTTGCTACGTGGGTTCAGTAAATTAAAAACTTATGTAAAGTGACGTCAGATGTAATATAAAAAATCCATAATTTTTCCATTTATTTTATTATACATTTTTTCGCCTTTTGAGATTTTGCACTCCAAAACCTTTTTTCTAGCTACTTTGGGATAAGAAAAAAAAGCGCGACATATTCCAAAACATTTTATTTAAATAACGATTTCCCGTATAACTTGGGTATTGGTACCCGTTTGAATTATTACAAAATATAAACAGAAAAACAACACTCTTTGCTAACATTTCAAGTCAACAATCTTTGCTATACCTAAAATTATGATTTCTAAGATAGTCTGGAGCAATTTCTCTCAACCATTCGCCTTCTATCGAGATAATGCCGCGCAGATAACACTTTGTCGATTGGACAACCTCCGTAAATACCACATAAGCAGGCTGCTGACCATGGAGTACTGAACTGGGATGGATCAAGGTAACTTGGCGCCTGTCCAACTAAAATTGTAATTGTAATATGTGGCAGACATATTATTTCCAGTTTCAATTTACATAGTTAAACAGTTAATTTTTTTGACTTAGGACTTAGTGAATCAAAATGATGACGCAAAAAGGAGCCAAAACGTCGACATTACTTTCAAGGCATTGATTAAGTTCAATAAACTAGATATTTTTTTTTTGCTTCTAAACTTTGCTTCTCTTTTCGCCATCATATCTGAAGACATTCAATCTGGGGGAGGTAGTTAAAGAATATTATTAAGAAAAAAATGTTTTCTCTGCGAGTCAAAGGGACATCGGATAAATTCTAAAGAAATCGATTTTTTTTGTGATGCATTATTAGCCATCTATTAAATTAAATTCCACCTACTAACCATTTACACGAATTATAATCTAGAAACTTTAACAACACCAAAATAAGTAAAAAAGTTCATATAAACTTATGCCCTAAAAGACTTTATTTGGAAGATACAGGCTGCTGAAAAATTTGGAAAAAATCGTTTTGTGCTATTTTTCTTCTAGATTTTGCTATCAAAATTGGTAAATTAACGAAATTAATTAATAACGTGAATTTATGTTAATTTAATTTGCAAACCTCGGATACTATTATTCAGAAGACAGTGTATACTACTGTATATCAATTTGTTTTATAAAATATTAAAAATTGGAAAGTACTTACTGTAACATATTGCCTATCCCTTTGAAGTTCTGCTACATTCATAAATAACCCCGTCAAAAGGCATTTACGCAACTGGTCTATTTGACTTCCGCATGATGAAATGTGCAAGTCAAAATTTTTGCAGATTTCTTCCAATTGCGACCGTACGTCCTGAACATACAAGATATTCCTAAAATTAATAAAATGTTCATGGCACCAATTTCTTTTCTTCTTTTGTCCGATTGTGTCAAATTCCCTGTATATATTGAGAAGCGTTATGTGATCTCCATAACCGGAACGAAATTTCTGCCTTACACTCTCCGCTTGATCCCTTTTGCTACGTGGCGTGGTCAATATGGACTCGCTTGACAACAACGCAATTACAGTTAAGGCCTCTTGTAAACAACCATATTGTTCGGCGGACAATAAAATTTTACTAAATTTAGGATCAAGTGGAAACCGTGCCATTTTTTTCCCCAGGGAAGTCAGAGCAATTGAATCGATATCTTCAATGGCCCCCAACAGCTTCAATTGTTCGAACGCTGCTTGGATACTGTCTTTCGGCGGCTTGTCCAAAAAATCAAAATGAAGCATGTGAATATCCAACGCTAATAATTGTAAGGCCACTGAATTTAGATTGGCCCTCTGTATTTCGGGAATGCTCGTTGGTTTCATCAGTTCAAACTGGGATCTGGTGTATATGCGATAACAAAAACCTTCAGATTGTCTGCCAGCCCTACCACTACGCTGCCAGGCTTGTTCCTGAGATATTCTTTGAATTTTAAGTAATTCTAAACCAGTAGACGGATGAAAACTCCTAAAATATAATACAGATTTATTACAAAGAAGGGAGAACCTGCAAGATATAATATATTTAGATTTAGATATAATTTACCTGCATTTTGAAAAAGATTTTGACATAGTCCCTCTGGCAAGGCTTTTTTACAAACTACAGGACTATAATATGAGGAAAATGCTGGGATGGATCAAGGACTAACTTTCATGTAGAACATTCCACAAATTTTGATTTACGGCTAATAATTTACTGGCCTCGATGTCAGTTAATGTTAATAATATTTGTTAATAATAATAGTGTGTGCTGTGCATTTGAACTTTATGATATACCCTTGTCCACCCTGTTTAAGAAAGTTAAAAGAAAGTGCCTTGCAGAAAATTAAAAAAAGATTTTTTAAACATATTATAATTATAAATAAAGGGAATATTCTATTTAATTCTAGTTAATTTCATTTCTATTCTAAATTTACTTAGAAAGATGTCACGGTACTAATTTTACAGTGCCGTAACAATGTATTACTCTCTACAAGATGGCGGTACATAATACAAAAAGTTAAACGTTAAAAGTTTTAACGCACAAAATGCAGATCCGTATTTAAAAAACCGAAGGTGCTTTGCATGTCACAGATAAAATTTAACTAACTAAGTGGCCATTCTATAAACTTTTGTACTGAACTCTGTCACAGACTTTCACCCCAAAAATTTATAACAAACCGTGTTGTAAATAAGTGGAACAGTTTATCAGATGACATTGTGACTGCACCTACCCTGAATAGCTTTAAGAATAGACTTGATAATTTTGTAAACAGACAGGGAATGCAGTGCCAACATTTGACTTCGGTATATAGTGTATACGCATATACTAAGGTGGTTTTACCGGCTGTGCCGCCTACCGCCTAATAGTATTATAATAAATTACAATAATAATAACCTTTATGTTGCGTTTTAGAAATACTGATGAAACACACCTGGATTTGACCATTCCGCCATCAATAACATATTTAATACCACTGATAGTAACACTTGTTTCTGCAATATTGGTGCTTATAACAACTTTACGGGTACCACTTGGGGTCGGCTGAAACACCGCCATCTGCTGGCTGTTAGGTTGTGCTGCATATAAAGTACAAACTCGAACTGGTGGACCTTCTACATCTGGATCCTTTGCTAAGAGTCTGATTTGATGAGCACAAGCCTCTATTTCCTCCTGCCCGGTAAGAAATATTAGAACATCATGACTATAATAACAAAATTAGGATTTGATATTAATTTTTTTTTAACTGGGTTTACTTGGCTGGTGCTTCTTGATGAATTTTGAAAAATGTTGCTACACAACTTGTTTGGTAATCATCATGCGGTTTTACTGTATAAAAAATATTTACTGGGTAGGTGCGCCCCTCTAGGTAAGCGGCTTGACAGTTATTAAAATACCTTGAAAAATGATCCACATCCATTGTTGCAGACATAATAATTATCTAAAATTAATTTCAAATAGCTTCTTCAAAAACTTTCATTTCTGGATAAAAAAAAATATGACTCTATTAAAAAATTCTTTTATGTGAAACTGAAACAAACAAATTCAATTTATTTACTTTAAGTGGTGGATGGTTCCTTTCCGCTCTAATTTTCTGTGCCGATTTTACTACACCAAAAAGAATATCAGTATGAATTGTCCTCTCATGAGCTTCATCTAATATAACAACATTATAATCCAATAACAACCTATCCAACATTGCCTCCCTCAACAACATACCATCTGTCAGATACTTTATTTTTGTTTTTTTTGAGGTCACATCTTCAAATCTCACACTGTAACCAACAACATCTCCAACAGACATCTATAAACATGATAGAATTAGTCATTAAATAAAACTTAAAAAAAAAATTACCCCATTTCCATGTTCAAGAGCAACTCTCATTGCAATGCTTATAGCTGCAACCCTTCTCGGTTGTGTAACTGCTATTTTACCATTCTCTTGCAATCGAGCCGAATATATGTACTGAGGAATCTGTGTGGTTTTACCGCTGCCCGTCTCTCCTATTATTATCAATGTTTTATGTCGTTTAATAATTTCAAGGAGTTTATTTCTCTTCTCAAAAATTGGAAGGTTCCGTCGTTGGTCTTGAATACTTATTTTGGGTAGAGAATTTCCATTAGCAAAGAAGTTAGCATTTCTATGAAAATTATCACTCAATTTAATTTTTTTGGGTGAAGGTCCATTCTTATTGAACAGTATTGGCACAGGATTTAGTTTCAAAGAGATTTTGGATTGATTTATGTTGTATTTTGAACTGCAATCCATTATAGTTTAAGGTTATCAGATCCGAATTCTGTTTTACTTATGTACTAAAATAATTTTAGCGGGATCTATGTCTCAACTAGGTTCATTTATCCAGTAGCCTTGCAACACTTAAAACAATATTTTAAAAAAGAGCATACTAAAACATATCCGCTTAGAATTGCCTCAAATACTTGGGAAAATAACCACAAAACTATAGAACAGTTTCTTCTTCTTCTTTTTTTCCAGTGTTGCGCAAATTTGCTGTGATCAATCGCCCATTATCTGGGCATTTTACATTGATTAGCAGTCAGTTGATGGCGTTAATACCAATTAATGTTTGACAAGTAGATTCAGCTTCGACAACCAGCACTCGTTCTATGACTCTGTTGTGGTTTTTTATGTGACAACAAAATATTAACATCATGTTAGCCAATATTTGGTAAAATGAGTTTGAATCAAATAGGTTTAGTTGCTTACGATAACAGTAGTAGTGAAAATGAAACTGATGATGAATCAATTGGATCAGAAAATATCATTAAGGAAAAAACAGTTGACCAGGATTCTGTAAATTGTAGTGGGGACATGGCACCAAATGAGTTTTTCCATAATAGTATTAATAAAACATCGCCAACCCTTGAATCAGATATTACAACAAAAATTGCTCATTTACCTGAATGCAGAAATTTCTCAACACCTAATTTGGAACTAAATGATAAATTGGAAGAATTTATTCCTACAATTAAGTCTATGAAGGATAAAAATAAGGTTAAAATAATGATACCATCCCTTTCAGAATTTAAAGATGTAGGGGAAGAGGAGCCTGGAAGGAAGCGTATCAAACCTTCTGAAAAAGGTAGTAGTTTACTTAAAATACTTCCTCCAATAAAAACAACTCCAGTAACATTAACAAGCTTTGTACCCAACTCGATAAGTAAAAAAGCCATAACTCAAAAAACCAGTACTCTGATACCAGACTCTGTGAAAAAAACCATCAGTAAAAAGTATTTGCAGCAAACAATGACTGCAAGTTCTTTAAAAGAAGTTGAGGAGACTGATAGTGATGAAGGTGATGGTGAATTAATAGATCAAAATATTTCAGATGAAGAAATGTGGGAAAAAATTTGTGGAAAATCTAAAACACAGACAAAAAGAGATCATACCTCCATACATAGACCAGATGTACCTGAACCCGTAATTAAAATTGCGCCAGAACCAAACAATCCATTAGATGCCCTTGACAATAAAGCATTTAAAGAACTGGTAGGAAAAACTAAACGTCCAATGGGCAATATAAAGTTAATTGATATAAATGAAGAAGAGATTCTACCAGATAAAGAATTATGGATGACAAAGTCATTGACTGATCCAGAAATGTCACCCAAAGCACAAGTTGGAGATGCTGTAGATCCAACCAAAAGGCGAAAGCATCATATTACTTATCTAGCACAACAAGCAAAAGCAAATGAACAGGAGTTGAAAAGTGCCTGGGCGGCTGGAAAAAATAATAGAATAATGAGTAGAGCAAAGTATGGTTTTTAAATATGTTGTATGTTTGTGTATACAAAATAATTACTGTTAATTTGTAAATAATGGTTGTTTTTCTTTGGTTCTCGCATTACACACATTTCTTTGGTTCTTAATATATCAAACCCTATGCGCCTTCCTATGTATAAGAAGATAATTATTTGCGACTATTGAAATAGGGGTGGGCGCATTCATTTTTTTTTATCTGATATTTGTAATTGATTTAGTAGAACAAATAATTCACCTCATGCGATGAAAGGTTTATAATTATCTTGGAGTCCAAAATAATCAACTCCTTAAATACCTGAATAAGGTAGTTAGACCATCCTGTATAACATGTGGAATGTTGTCATTGTCTTGTTTCTATGGAAATTAAATTGCCTTGTGCATAGATAGGATTATAGATTAGCTGCTTTAAACGTGACGTCAAAAAAAGTAATGATGGCTTTAGTTAAAAGTATGGTGTGGTGTGTATAAAGGCACATAAAGAAATTAAGATTTTTTAGGAAGTGAATCAATATACTTTGAAGATGACCATGTTGAAATTTCAAATTATTGTGTGGATCGCACAGAGCAAAATTTTGCAAACATCATCGGGTGCATCGAAGATACTCTCATTAGCGAGAACTTTCTAAAAATCCAGGCAAAGTTTATGGAAACCTACTGGAAAGAATTTTCAGACGATGAAGAAAATAAACTGATTTATACGGATATATTTCACAAATATTTGATCACTGTTGAGGTCTATATAGAAAACGAGTTAGTAAAATGCGTTCCCACATTTTGTATGGCAGAGTTTGAAAAAGAAGTCCAGTGAGTATAAATGGTATATTCTGATTTAATGCCAAATTAATATCGCTTCGAGTTACAGCCTATTCTAGTAACCTACAGGATCTATACTTCAGAGGGTATTAAAAGAAAATTGAGTAAAAATAGGCTGTTGTTTCGGGATTATAGATTTGTTTTGCGTGATTTCCGGTCGCCATAGCAAAACTATTTCGAAAATACTTCTCACATATACAAGGTGTAACATATTTAATATAAGTTTAAATTGGAAACAAAGCAACAAGCCCTTTCATCAGTTATGTTATAGAGTTTTTATTCTTTAAGCTAAGACTACGAAAAAAAAATCATTAAATTTTGAAAATTATTGATTGTGTATAGTAAGTCATATAAGAATTATGATTAAAAAAATGTTGTTATGATTTGTCATCAAAAATTTGATTCACCGTCTTTGTTGCGGGTATATTATATTTGGAAGTCTTCTATACTTTCAGACTAAGATCAAATGAGTTAGATCCTGGAATTCGCGAAATTCTGTGTACCTTTTGGGATTTTGAAAAGTTTAAGAGTATGTTCTTGGAATACAAAAAAGTAAGTTAAAAATATTGTCCATAGTTTGCGTTATGCATTATTAATACTTTTAGGTAAAGGAGGGTCGAAGTATTGATTTCTCACCAGATATTGTAATAACAAAATGTGGAATTATAAATGAATAGTGATTTATTTTAAAAGTACTTAGTATACAAAGTAATAAAAATAATAATTTAATGCATTAATATTTCCATTTGCACCAAACGACTATTAGTATCCCCTGGCATTCTGTATGGCAACATTCCAGCAAAATTCGTTATAACTTTCGCTTGTGCTCGTAAATGCGCCATTTGCTAAAATAAAATTGATGTTAGTAATATTAGATTTTTATATATAAATATTTGTACATTTTCAACAGAATTATCCTGATAACGTGGTATATACTCAATATTGCCTTTGATTTTCTGATATTGGGCGAATAACATATTCATGGTTGCTAATAATACATCGGGAATCACTTTGCTGACGTCGGCCGTTAAAGCTTTAAAGCTTTGAACCTTATCAATAATTTCTTCATTCCTGAATGGAATGAGCTGAAGATCACTTAAAACCTTAAATTTAAAAATTAAAAAAAAACTAATAAAATACTAATTTATTCACCTTAAGAGCTTGTGGATACTCTTTGGCATGATATAAGTTAAAGAAGATCAAAAGTTCTTTAAGTTTCAAAAAGGAAATCATCAGACTAGACGAACAATTATATCCTTCTCTACAGAATCTATCAGCAAACACTACAGCTTTCTCTTGAAGTCTGCCTCTAAGTGTTCCCTCTTCGTTTTCTAAGTGAACCACCTGAGACAGCATGCTGCACAAATAGTTTAATATTTCTTCTTGATTCTGTGAAAAAAAAAAAAACTTCGACAAAGACCTATAAAAACATAGGATTATTCCTTACATTAGCAATGTCATAAACATTGATGGCCTCTTCGCACAAGCCCTTCTTTACAAGATTGTCCCCAATCAGTTGAGCAACACTGTCAGCAGTAACATTGTTGTCAGTAAACTGATCAATAAGACCCTTTATTCTAATCCCATTGCTTTGTACTCTACCCAAAATTTTTTCATACTGCTTAGTTTCTATTGCCAGATCGGCAACACATACTTTAAAAAGATTCTGACCGTCTAAATTAGTATAATTTCTTAGGTGATAGAAATAGTGAAGTGCCTCGTCGAGACAATTTAGCTCAAATGCACGTACATAAAGCATGATTAGGCGAGCTAAGTTTAAACGTCTAGCAGGTTTTGGATCAGCAGGATCTATAAAAACTAAAAAAAAATATTGTACAGTAAAATATGTTAAACAATTTATTATAATGTGAAGAATTATTTGAACTATATTTTGCGACAATAAAGTGTGATAATCTATCTGTACTTTGCATCTATGACATAAGAGTAAATCAAGCAACAATACTTACTAAGAGGAGCGCTGGTATCATGTGGTCCTGCAATCATATAAACTTCATTTAAAGCTAGAGCCATGTGAACACTGTGGACTTTAAATCTTTCGATCCTAGTCAAAAACTCTATTGCAGCCTCAAACTGCCCTGTTAGCATCAGTACTTGAAAATAAAGATGTGGTTGATTGAAGGCATCATAATGAATTTCACCATATTCTTCTAAGACTAATTGCTAAAATGAAATTTTCACTACAATATCTTTATATTTAACTTGAATCCATTTAATCGTCAAAATATACTGTTTTAAGTGCTTACCTGCAAATCATTATATTTTACATGGTCATCCTTATTAGAATCCACACAAACCAAACTCAGTTTCAGCCAAAGATAATCATCGGCAGTTCTTGCAACCTCTGAATGTTCATCAACAACATCACAACAACCCAGAACTGACCAAATAATTCTTTTAAATGGGTCCGTTTCATTCCTGACAAACCTTCTGTATGAAAACTTTATGCTATCCTCCAGTTTTGCAATTTCAGGACTATTGGGATTATTCATTTTAGCTTCAAGAATGCTAACAACGTCGCGGTACTCAGAGAAATAGCTTTTTTTAAGACAATATAAAGCTGCTGATAGATCTCCTGAGCGCAAACAATAATATACCATGGGCCACAGTGGACGATCATCTATGGAGCCGTCCCTTAAGCCCAAATATTCACCTTGTAGTCTCAGGCCTACAAAACCCCTAACCAAGGAATATGTGCCGGGAATTCCTCCACGTACTGCTTGAGCTAAATTTTCGGTAACCATATTGTTCATATATGTTTTGTACCTGAAATTTATAAAATAAAATGACATGCAAAATTTGGTTACCATTACCATGTTTCTGAGTTTGAAAGAATTATAAGCTATTACCTATCTTCAAGATATTTCTTGCCCTGTTGAACTAAGGCTTCAATTGTACCTTTGCCATTTCTTAAGTTAACAGGATCTTCAGACTGTGGAAATGATGGTACTTTCACCATATATTTGACAATTTCCCACATGTCTTTCACTTTCTATAAAATTTTTGCATAAGCAAATTAAATCTAAAATAAGAAAAAACTTACAGCATCCTTAAATTGATTAGCTACATCCAAAAACATTTGAACAAGATTAGGTTTTGGTACTCCCGTAACAATGGCTTTGTTATATTCCATAATTTTAGAAGCATATATTGTTTCAATAGGACCTAATTGCCCAATTGGAATGGACGGTTTTTCCATTATTATGCTCTGATGTTTTCCAATTTCAATGGGCAAACCGGATCGACCACCTAAAGCACTTAGTATCTTCCTTTTTTGTTGCTTCCATTCGCCAGATTGGTGTTCCCATGCATTTTCAGAAGTAGACTTTAACATCTAACACAGACAGTTTAGTTTCAAAATAACAATAATCATAATGTTTACCTCACTGTATCCTGAGTCAAATGCTTCGAGAATCTTGTTTCTAATTTCGTTTTGCAATAAACTGGGTACATCTAAGTCATCGACAGGTTGAATAGGTTCAAATGTTCGTTTTGTACTAATTGATTCCAATTTTTGAACAATTTTCGGTAGATCTATCCCTTTTGAACCCAATAGTAAATTACTACAAACAGCAAATGCAATTTTTTTCTAACTCTTTGAAGTATGGAATGCAACTTACGCTTGAATGTCCTTAGACCCAGTTTGGGCAACTCGGGTATACAAATCATTAGAAGCGTCTAATACTTGTTTGAGTGATCTTTCTACTTTTGGAAGTTCCGTAGTTCCTTCGAGATCATTAGTTAATTTTTCGGCCTCGCGTAAGAGGTCTGAAAAGTCCGTCATCTTTTAAATTTTAAAAATTTAACAATTCACAACCGCGAAAATCGGCCTTTCCGTTACTAGGTTAGGACAATAAACATAACATTTATTCTCTAACCGCAGAATAGAAAAATGTTTCGTCATGTCCTTAACGCTTTGGATGGTAAGTAATAGTAGCATTAAAGCAAATTTAAACAAACAATTAAATTACCAATTACCATTAACAATAAAATATACCTTTTCAATGTAGTAATCTACAAAGATTTACATCTTTAGCCTAAAAGTTATGTAAAATAATTTGCTGGAAAAAAAGAATCTTATAACTAACTCTCGACCTTATCCACCAAATTAATATTAACAGAAAAACGTAAGGCTCCTTTCTTTTCTTCGAAAATATAAAATAATTTCAAACAGGATTGTGGGTACTGAGAACGCACGGTGTCAGCTAACAAATGAAATTGCAAAAATCCTAGGAAAAACATTAAAACAATTACATACAATACATTACAATACAATTATATCAATAATTTCTTAGTATAAAAACCTCAAAACGCAAAAGTTGATAAAGAAGAAAGTGAGTCATTTCCGGCAGAGTTCGGTATGCCACAGGGAACGGTCCTTGTCCCAAAGTTGTTAACCAATTATTCGAATTGGAATAAAACCTACAGAAAAGTAGCAGTAGCTATTTAAGAATTTGAGAAGTGCTTAATAAACGAGTGACTTAGGAAAAAAAAACATCCGATTGCTCCCAAATCCGTGTATTAAATGTCCGCAGTGACTCGGATTCGTGATAAAATAACACTTAGTTGATCATTCACTTGTTCTAACATCTGAAAAAGCATCTAAAAAAATTTTCTGCTAAAAAAATAATTAAAATTATCCTTTAAAATGCCCTTCATCTAACTAGTTCTAACTAGATATATGATCATATATGAAATTGAAAGTTAAGTGTTGCTATGAGAAGCGCGGACTTCGTTATGCATTATGGCAAAACTTAGAAACATGTTGCTTTTATTAGTCCCAAGATCTATAATGTTCTTGCCATATAACTATGCCTATGACTATGTTGACAGCACATTAACTCATGAAGCAACCATGTCAACAAATTTTGAGAAGGTTCATTTAACATGCGGATGCGTGAGATTTAAAATCTCGTTTTTAGCCAGTGACCTGGCCGAATTCGACAACCAACATGGCCAATTCGTTAAATGTTCTTGTAAGACGAAATAAGTGTTTGGAACTCGCTGTTTTGAAAGAAAATGATGCAAAGTGCATTCGATTCTCTCCGAACATCGCATCAATTTTTACTGTAGTAGGGCTATTGTATTATTTAATAGCTATAAGGTTTTTCATTCATTCATTCTGCTTTCGGTTAGTGACGACCTGTGTGGTCGTTACGTGAAGGCAGTATGTAGGTTAAGTTAGGAGGCTCTACCTCAACATCGCCTTTTGTATTATTATCATTATTAAGTTGAAAATTTTAATAAATCCAAGAAGAACATAAATCAATGGATATATGAGAATAGTTTTATGCTCGCTATTCTATTGGTAATTCCAGAGAAAAATTATTATAATTTTTTTAATTTTAAGGAATTAGTTTTAAGAAAATGTTTTCTGTTACAGGGTTAGGCTTTCTTTTTAAAGCACACTAACCTTTTCGCTAATTTGTGTTACAATTATAAATTGTACAACATAAAAATAGTGTAACAGTGTCCGTTTCCTCTTTAGTGCACCCACATTTATTTTTTAATTTTTAAGGCCCTGTGGCTCGATTACTTTCTATTACGATCCGCAATACATTATGAGCAGCCACACGCCACCCACATATTTATCAAAACCAATACTGAAATAACGTTTCGCGCCTAGTAAATTTGAAATGCTTATACAAGCATGCGTTATTAATTTTCATTGATGACAAAATTATATCTAATGTTCTCACAATGGAATTAAATTAATCCCGTTCACTGTGGGTGGGTTAATGCCCAGGACACGGCCGACGAATATCGATTGTTTTAAAGAAAAATGTTTTTCTTTAAAACAAGCGCATATATAAGTGCCGCAGACGAAAACTATAATTGGCTACGTTTGCGGTTTTATCGATAACGTTGACGTGGGTTGTTTCGACCTCCCTTTAGCTGTCGTCGATTATATAACTAAGTTTGTATTTATTCTATTTAGTTGCGGCCGAGGTCTTCCACGCGCTTTCGCACCCTCGTCCTATCGAAGGAACAAAAATAGAAAATGGTTCGTGCAAGTTTCAGATGGTGCAGGCCAGAGTCGGTTCGATTTTCAGTCAAGCGGTGTCATGCCTCATCTAGTGCCAAAGGCACGTCTGCACTAGCTCGATCAACTTTAGGTAAGAATCAATTGTTTAACGGCCACACAATTGTAAAGCTCCTCTATAAAACTGTGTTGCATAAACAACCTATTAAAAATAAACGTGCTTTTAACCCAATTATAATACATAATGAACAAAAAATAAGTGATGCCAAGAAAAAAAAAGCTATATCCTTGTACTATGTTTATACAAGTCAATAACATTTAATGGTCTAAATAATACAACAATGAACGCTCTATATAAGCAACTTCTCTGTAAGTAACCTCTATATAAGCAATTTTTTTTAGTTCAAATGTTTCATAAAAGCAACTTACTTTTTAAACCTAAATTATAAATTATAATGCTGAACAAATATATAATTGCGACAAAACTAACGTTACAAATTTTGGAAAATGCCCTGCTGGAAGAAATGCAATGAAGGAGAGGGAAATCGAAATCTCCTCGTTGCTTAAAAAAAAAATGGATTTGCAGTATATTGCAAATCACCCAAAAATACTTGGAAAACTTATACATTTTTTGTGCGACTGGTATAATAATATATTCATACCTTCAGTAACTCAGCACTTGGAACCTAAAAACCTTCCCGTAAAATCCCTTGTCTTAGTAGATAATGCCACTTGGCATGGGTCTGGGAATAAGTTTACTAGTAACTCGAATTTCAATGTTATGTTTTCCCCCACTGCAACCACTAGATCAAAATGACATAAAATCTCGAAAACAACGCTATTGCAAACATCTATTTGCACGTCTTGCAGTCTTAGATGCAGCAGATGGAATAGTTTCAGCACTGAAAAATATATATTTGAAAGGTGTCGTTTATTTAGTGGTGCAGGCATGGAATGAAATTCCCGTGTCAGTAAAAAAAAATCATTTAAATTTCTTTTTCGTCAAGTAATGAAATTCAATACAACATTCCTTGGGATCACTTTTCAGAAGAGGTAATTGGACGATACTGAAATTATGGAATGGGCAAGTATAATAAGCGAGGCAAGTCGTCTCTTTAACTTAGAAGAAAATCCTGTGAAGTGTAACTACTCCTCTTGCAGAAAATGAAAAAACGTCGGATGACTCCAATAAAAACATCAATGATAAATTATTTTAATTTGGTTAATTTGGTGATAGAACGGGCAAAAGAACATGACCTACTTAGGAATGAGGTTTGTTTGTTCCAAAGAAGAAGAGAAAAAGCTATCGTGGAGAAATATATGTAATTGTTTTGTTTTTGATTGTTGTGTTGTAAATTCTTCCGGGTTTTACTCCGCGTCTGGTCTGGCTGGCTCCAAGTGGAGGTAGTCCTCTGCTGACAACGTTTCGGCAAGATCTCACTTGCCATTTTCAAGTCGGGTCGTTCTGCTTTTCGTCTGAACTCGGCTTGAACTGACGAGAAGCAGAACGACCCGACTTGAAAATGGCAAGTGAGATCTTGCCGAAACGTTGTCAGCAGAGGACTACCTCCACTTGGAGCCAGCCAGACCAGACGCAGAGTAAAACCCGGAAGAATTTACAACACACATGTAAGACCCGCGGAAGCCTAAAACAAAACCTATATATTAAAAGGTAAAAGAAATAAGTAAAAATATTTTCCGGACGGTAAGTATTTTTATACTCCTTTTATCCCTTCAAGCAATTTTTTCCAATAGAAACTTTCTTTTTGAAACTGGTTCAAATGAATCGCTTATATAGAGCGTTCACTGTATTATAATTCCTTATTTATATGTGTATGTCATTCTGTACTTAATTTTTTGTTTACTGTTGCTGTTGCTACTTTCATTAGCATTTGTTGTAGGCGATGCGAACACTCGCATCTGTGAAGAGTCACATAAATCAACATACATCTGATTTTATAACTCAAATAATACAAAAAATGCAAATATTTTAATTCCTTATTTCTATTTCTACGTCATTCTGTAGCTAGTTCCTGCTTGACTATTGCTATTTTCATCAGCATTTGTTATAGTTATATCTTACACTCGAATCTGCGAGCCTTATTCAACCTGCATTTTAAAGCTATTCAGTATATTATACATTACACTATAAAATCATTTATATAGCCGTTACATTAGTTTCCTTAAGCACGGGTTTATGTGCTGTTAAACTATATGTCTCTATTTTCATCAATTGTAAGGGGAATATTTCCAAAGTGGCCAACCTAAGTGGTCATTAAATTTTATTACCAGTTTTTAGGGCCTAAAATTATTCTAGCTGTTGTTGGGGATGAACCCACATTTTTAGGTCTTCTTTAACTCAAGTTGTGACAGGCGTTCAATGCATTTGCAAAAGTTTTATTGTTACTCTGGAAGGGCGTCTTTCTCTCCCTCTAAATTAATCTATTTCGATGGGAATGGGAGTATCGCACAACATAACTAGATGAACTAACCGTATTTACACGACTTACAATAAGTTAACTTATGTCCAATTGCCCTTAACATAGTCAATCTCATAATGCAGAACGAAATTTTGACACATTTTTTGGTCCTTCGAGCTGGATTCAAGTTATCGCGATTTTGATAATTAATAAGCCAGAAAAATGTCGCTTTTAGATAATTTATTTTACTTTTAATGGATAGGAACCTTATTATAATGTTCCCAATGAACTAGCCTGAACTAAAACAATTTAAATTAAAGTACAAGAAGCGTTTAATTATTAAATTATAATTTACTTTCTTTAGATAGCCATGATGTTTTTTCTTTTTGATATAAAAAATGCTATGGTCTCTTTCTTAATGCTGAAAAACTTGGTGATCCTAGCCGTATTCCATAGACATAATGACTGTCAACGGTCCCGAGAGTGACAGGTAGATGAACCTGCGCGTTAGTGTTAGTGCCTTGTGCCATTTGTTGGCAAAATTCGTAGTTGAAAATAGGTAGCGTTGGTGAAATTATTACTGAGAAATGGATCATTAAAACTCGTACACTCGTTTTATTTAAAAAAAGAAATACCTACCTGGCAAAATAATGAGATGAAAAAGGATAATATCACTTTGAAAGAAGGAGGGAGGACAGTGAATTGAGAAATATTAAGCTAGTAAAAAGCTGATAACACAATAGAGCGTCTTATTATTTCTCTGGATTCCAATTAATAAATTATAAATATTAATTAATAAATATTTATTAATAAATATTTATTAATAAATATATATTACTATTTACAAAACTTCTGCATTCCTTCTGAGTTGGTTAGTTGGTTAAGTTACTTTGGTTGCTTATAGATTTCTATAGATTCTCGCATTTTCGGTTTATAGAAGAATAAAATTTGATGTCCGGTTTCGGGATTGTGTTCTGCAATTCCTGACGAGTTTATTTGTCGTAGTCTTTTTCATCTTCTTTGAGCCTAGTTGATATTTTTCGTCCGGTCTCTACAATGTATTCTTTGCCGCATATACATGGAATGCTATAAACTCTCGGTATCTCGAAAGGAATTTTGTCGTTGACGGATCGAAGATGTTGAGAAATTTTTGACAAGCGGCAAATCTAGTTTTGACGTTATATTTCATAAGAACACAGACAACAGTGGCAAGTGTGGGGTTGCTTTAAACAGTCTTTGGATGGTTGTGGTGAAGTGGATGTTGCGATAGAACGCTTAATAATAATAATAATAATGATGATGATGATGATGATGATAATAATAATAATAATAATAAAAATAAAATCAGAACAATGCTAAGGCTAATATAGAAACTAAACTGCAAAACAGGGTGATAAAAATATTAAAAACGGAACTAAACGGAAAAAACAAAATTAATGCTGTAAACACATGGGCGGTACCGGTAATCACGTACACGTTTGGTGTATTAAAATGGTCTAACACTGACTTGGAGAGGCTGAACAGGAAAATAAGGACCCTCATGACAGAGCATAGAATTCACCATCCTAAGGCATGCACTGAAAGGCTATACTTACCAAGATCGACGGGCGGAAGAGGATTGGCTGACCTCAACATACTGCATAGGCGTCAAGTAAATCAGTTAAAGAAGTTCTTCCACCGTAAAAAAGATACTTCGACGTTGCATAAGCTCGCTTGTCAGTCGGATAGATACTTAGCTGTAGATCTCAGAAAAAATGAAATAAAAGAGATACCAACACTTGATGAGGTAAAAGAGAAGTGGTTGAGTAAGCGCCTTCATGGAAAATATCCATCTAGTTTAAAAACTGCTGGGAGCGAATCAACAAATTGGTTAGTTAAGGGGCAGCTATTCGCTGAAACTGAAGGATTTATCACAGCTATTCAGGATGAAAGCATAGCGACTAGGAATTATAAGAAGTATGTCCAAAAGATCAGAATAGATGATGATAAATGTCGTATGTGTGGACGGGTGCCAGAGACCATCGAACATGTAACAGCAGGATGTCAAACGCTAGCTCCGTCTGAATACACCAAAAGGCACAACTTAACAGCAAATATTGTACACCAAGAACTAGCAATGCTATGCAACCTAGGAGAGGGAAAATACAGTCCATATTTTAAATACATACCTGCTCCAGTTCTTGAGAACGAAAATTATCGGCTATACTGGGATACACCTATAGTAACAGATAAACCAATAGCCAGCAATAGACCAGAAATTATTCTGCTGGATAAGGCTAATAAAAAGGCGTATTTCATCGACATCTCACATCCCTCGGACCACAACCTGGAACAGAAAGAGAGAGAAAAAATTAATAAGTATTACGACTTGGCAGAGGAATATAAAAAAATACTCACCCTAAAAGCAGTACATGTTATCCCTGTAATTATATCGGCCACTGGGCTAGTTACCAAGAAGTTTGCAGGATACCTGGAAAGACTGAATATAACGAATAAAACCATCGTTACAAAAATGCAAAAGTCCGTAATACTTGAAACTTGCAAAATGGTCCGAAAGACCCTGAATATCCCGGAGACATAAACCTTCCCCCCCCCCCCCCAACTTTAGTGACTGGTTAATAAACCCCACTAAAGCTGCTACCCTAATAAGGAGAAAAAAAAAAGTAATAATCATTAATATTATATTTATTATTATAATAAACTAAATATAGTGACGCCGCTGTCACATTACTTTCATTCACCAAACTCGTCTCTTAATTGTATGCAAATTAGTGTGACCCCAATTTAGGAACTAACCGAGGTGTGTAGGTCTTAAAAACTCGTGTACGGATATAACCTCTAGCATTAAGAAATTTTCTATTCCTTTTTTTCCTACCTGCGCATATCCTGCCAAGTGTTCCTCACTCAGTCAGTACTACGCATAATGTAAGTATCTGAAATGTTCTTCTGTATTTTCTTTTTGATTCATTATTTTAAAAATTCACTCATGATTGGTACTTTTCCCGTATTTCTAGTGCTCTAGAACGTATAAATATGGAAATAAGACGTTGTGTGAACAATCCGAAATAACTTTTGTTATACCTATGCTTGTTATTATATCTACAGTGGTGTCGTAGTAAAGCAAATGTAGATCGCGTTAATGTTGGTGTTAAAATGGGCGACCAAGACAAGTACTGGGCTCCCAATACTGTTTGTTCCATTTGCGTTGAAGTATTAAGAAAGTGGCAAAATCATCATATGAAACTTGGCTTGATGAAGCGGTTTCTTAAAGCCCGAGACAAAAGTGGACTGTGTTTTATATATTTGTGCCAGAAATTTCCTGCCATATCTGATGCCAAGATAAAAAGAAATATTTTTGTTGGGAACAACGCCTGGGTTTCATTTAAAAAGGTACTTGGTAAGTTTCTTGTTAACTCTATGGACGAAAACTACGAAAGTATTGCTCAAAATATACATTTTCATCGTCTAGGTTCTAATATGAGTCTGAAACAGCATTTGTTGTTTTCACTTTTTTTTTAACTAGTATTCCACTCTAAACAAATAAAAAATAAATTATTTTAGAAATATCTTTTTTTTCTTTAATTTTTGCAAAAAAAAACCTTACATGATACAAATATTAATAGAATTAATTAATATAATTTTTGAAATCAACCTACTAAGATTATATAAAATCATTCAAAAAGTTTAATTTTGTATTTATCTAACAACGAAGGATGACCTTTCAGAGGATTCTATCACTAAAGCGAATTATATTTTCATGAAAGCCTCTAGCTGAGCTATCAATCTAGTCCTATTTTATGTCGCGACCTTTAGAAATTCAGGTAATTTTATACAGGTGGATACGTGGAACGTAACCCAACCCCCCACCCTCGCTATCAGCGCATCGTCGCGTGATTTCAGCAGTTTTTCTGTGGCTTTCAGGCCGTTTACGTAATCCGCCCCTGCATGCGCTCCCTGCTCTCCCTGTATCATAGCAACGTCCCTCCGCGCTAGACGAAAGGAAGGCGTAACATTTTATCTCTATGTGGGACTACGACGCTCGACGTCGGATGAGAAGAAGTAGCCGTAATTAAATGAGCTCGCGAGGTATACGCGTATCACTAAAACGCTCCGGCGACGATGTGTTCATCGTTTTTATTTAACCGGCAATTGAAAAATTAAGTACCGAAAGGTGACAATAATGGTTCGGTTCGGTAATGATGGGGTACACGAGAGGCTCGAATTGTTGGTCAGTCTGAGAGAAATGAACATGCAAATAAAAAACGGTGAGTTTTGTGTGGTCGGAAAATTTTTAACACTGAATATGTAAATCTGTTTAAACTATGCGAACTATAGCAAAATTAATTTTATTGTTGGACTGTAATAACGATTAAAATACTTTTAAACTTCTAGTAACTAATTAAATTGTAACCGATCTGCAAGAAAATACAATTTAATAAAATATTTAAATTATAAAAGTACCCATATACATACCTTTGAATAATATTTAAATTTATATTAAAAGAAAAGTTAAATTTATGCCCTTATTTCGTCAATGTTCGTTTCTGCAATAATTCAAAAAATATATGTATTTTTAAAAATGTGTAGTTTATAATCCTAGAAGTCGCTTTTGGTCAGCAGATAAATAATTGAATAATTTCTGGAATTCAAATTTTTTTTGGTTTAAGGATCGACAGTTATTTAGTTGTGATTTATAAATTTTAAATTACATTTATTTTTAAATAAAACAATGTAATTAGTTTAACATAATCAAAATACAACACGAATCTAAGTTTTAGTTTAAAGCACTTAAACGACTTTATTTCAAAATTTTTTACATTTGAAACAATGGTAGCTACATGGTTTTGCGCAAAAATACAAAGTGTCCAACTGACAATTGGGAAACAACAAACGCAGCATTATTTACTATTTTTTGGATTCTTCAATTCATCAACAAACATCGCCTAGTCACGTCGGTCGGCAGAGAATAACATTTTTCTTAAAGTAAGTCCCAAGTTCATTTTCCTCTTAAAAAGGAGCCCAATACATTTAACCAAAAAACAAAAGGTAAAGAAAAAATAAACACTGATTGAGATCACAGGTTGTTAGTATATATAGCAACCTTTCCATTTATCCCATGCATATAGTGACTTAACAGTATAATGAAGAATATACAAGTTAAACTATTTTTTTTATCCACGGTATGTTAAAAATTTCAAAACTAACCAAAATCAAAAAAATGTTAACTTGTTTTAAATACTAAAGCAGGTTAGTGACTATTGTTTAACAGGGTTATTCTTTCCTAAAATAATATTTTAAAAGCATGTCCTAATCTAAAATGTACTTGTTGCTTCGATAGAGCAGCTTTAAGCTAGACCGCGCCACGAGAGAATAAGTATTTTATTAATTGTCAATTACTTTCACTTTTGATTGATAACGTCATATTATTATTATTGTCATTAATTATAATGCGCTTATAGAAATAGAAACAGTCCATCAACAATTTTTTTATTGCTACTAGCGTGAATCATTAAGCGTTAATGAGTCTTTGTCTTTCACCATTATTTACTTATCTATGAAAAGCTGGAAATGAAAGTTCCAAAAATGATATGCGGATTCTACATTCTTCCGCTCACTACCTTATCGTGATAATGTTATTGTTGTAATAACAGATGTGAATCAAAATGAAGAAATTGGGTGAAAATAACAATTTATTCAATAGTGAAATAAGTAATAACAACAAAAAAGCATTGATAAACTCAACGACAAACGCAGATGCGCTTTCCGTTACAGTAACCTCCCGACCTCCCTTTGTACAAGCAGTGTAGGCCACAAGCTGCGTCATTTAGCTTAATTCCCTTAGCTTCGACGCTGAGGACATCGCAGGTAACCCTTTTAACTCGAACGTGTTCTGAAAAAAAAACGTTATTGTAATGCTTCCAAAATTTAAATATACTTAAAAAATGACGTCATAGTTATCAAAATTCAGTTTCAAAATTTAAAGGCCGTATTTTTGCGATTCTTCGTTTATAATAGTTATAATTATTAGTAGTATAATCTAATTAAAGAAAATAATAATAATTAATGATCTTGTGTATAATATAACGTGGTAGAAAATATATTATAAAATAGTGAAACATATTTGCACAAGTTTACTAAGAATTATTAACTAATTTAAAAATATTACGTTTATAGATTTTTACATAAAATTCGTAATACACCTGTTATTTGTTTTTTTTCTTCATCATATTAACTTTTTATATTAAAATTAGTCGAAAATCCATAATATTTTCTAGCAAACGTTAACTTTGAAGAACTAAGAATTTAAAAAATAATATTTTGCTTGTACATACATACCTTGGTTAGTGTCGTCTAAGAATTCTTCATCGACGGGAGCCGCGTTCGAAAGACCCGCTACGAAGACGATCACCACAGCGAAACAAAACACAAACGTGTACTTCATATCGAAATTCTATTAACGGGTTTAGACTTGACACCGTATTGCTTATCAATGCTTTGCAAATTGTGCAGACGTTAAGACCGTCTCGTCTTTTATACTGATTATAAACAATACACAACGATTTAGATAAAGAAAGCGTTAACGGGTAAATACCGAAGCCTGTGTTCGAGGGGACTCACAATTTCCATGGCGCTTGCCACCGAAGATGGAGAAGATTTTTTTTGTCCTTGCGAGACCTGCTTTTGATTACCAGTTTGTTTGTGTCATTGTGGGATTCTTTGAAGAATGTAGTGTGAGCGGTACGTGCACCAAGTGGTTGTTGCCTTAAAATGTTGTAGTCCTTTGTTTGAAAAATTACATTTTCATTTACCATTTCTCTTAGAAAATTTCTGGTCTTTGTGTTTATTTAATGATTTTCACCATTTTTTGGTAACTCAAATTTAAATTTGCCGACCCGTACATACCTAAGACAATTTTATTTTATAAATATCATTTTGTGTTTGGTGATAAATATTATTGTCAAAAAACTTCACAATCTGAAATCTTGATATTTTTATTTAATCGAGAAGGTAATTTCCATTTTATTTCACGAACAGCGTCCATTTTTGCAATTAAACTTAGTCAAAAAGCACATTTCAATCATAGGTTTGCCTGATTAAGTAACAAGCATAAAAGTAACTAATTAAATTGTAACTAATTTTGAAGAAAATACAATAAAATAAAACATTTAAATTATGAAAGTACTCATATACATTATGAAGCCCTTGAAAATTATTTAAATTAATAGAAAAGTTAAATTAATTCCCTTATTTCGTCAATATTCGTTTCTGCAATAATTTAAAAAAAAATTGTAGTTTATCAATCCTAATAGGAAGTCGCTTTTGGTCAGCCGTTAAACAATTGAATAATTTTCTGGATAGATTTTTTTTTTGGTTTATAAATGTTGTTAATGTTATGGTATAATTAGTTTAACATAAAAAATATTTCACTTGTACGATAAATAATTGTACACAAATGTAAGTTTTTACTTAAAGCACTGAGCACATATTTAGTGGCTCATATATTTTTTGGTGTTTTATTTTTGTAATTCTATATACCGCATTGAATCACAAAACGACTTTTTTTCAACATTTTTTACATTTGAAATAATGGTAGTGCTATAGGTTTTGCTCAAAAATACGTAGTGTTCAACTGACAATTGGGTAACAGCACACACAGCATTATTTACCATCTTTTTTGGATTCCTCAATTCATCAACAACCCACGCAGAATATTTGTAAACAGTATAAGTTTCTTTGAAAAATTAACAAACATCGCCTAGCCTAGTCAGTCAGTTCATTTTCATCTTAAAAACGAGTCTAATACATTTAAGCAAAAAGCAAAAGGGAAAGAAAAAATAATCACTGAACAAAGAACATTTTTTTAATGCATAAGCGACGAAATACGGAAATAAATCGCTCTTTCTGACGTCCGACATCCTCCCAAAAACCGCCGGTATCGAGTTATTTTTAAATTTTAATTACTCCCCTTTCGATTATAAAGCGCCGATTGTAACACACTTTAGGCAGTTTTTCCTTTGTGTCGGGACGTTTAGAATTTGGGAGAGGATTGTGGTGCATTACCGCAGTATCTATTTATAAAAGCATCGAAAGGTAGTCTTCACCGAAGAACCGGAAAGGTAAATTGTATACTTCAAGCTGTCAGTCGCTGTCGATTTTTTCCTCGATTACTCAACATGGCGACAGACATATTGAAAACTGGCGCTGTGCTGTGCTGCTTAGAGTCAATACTCTGGGCATTACTAAATTGAAGTTACGAAAGAAAATTAACTTGATTATTAAATTGAACAGTGGGAAAAGGTTCCTTAATTTTCAGCAAAAATTATTCAAATTAATTCAATAAAACAAACCCTAGATGTGTAGCAGCCACATTAAGATATTTTTGGCTCAAGCAGCATTTTTTTTCCTTTTTTTTTAACAGTACTTCAAAAACTTTTGTCTGTTTGTTTTGTTTCTCTCTCTATTGTTTTTGCGACAATCAATTGCACTTTAGTTTTTTTTTGTATTTTAGAGTCTTTAATAAAACTTAATTTAAAAAATTAAACCTTTACAAGTTTCGTTAGGTCCACACTCCACACAGTGTAAATATAGTAAATGTAATATAGATTCAATTAAAAAAAGAAAGAAACAATACATTTAATGCTTCTGAACGAATTCCTTCAGGTAACGAGGAAACGAGTTTCTATGTTAAAATACTTAACTATTAAAAAAAAGAAATAGTTGTGAAGCATCTGCACCTAGAGTAACAGATTATTCCACATGGACTAATCATTGCAGAAAAATCATCAAAAAATTTAAAATAAACAATACTGATTTTCTTATAATGACACACAATAACAATAAGGATTTAAAAAGTGCACGAAGATGAAGTGCAATGCAATGATTATTAAAGTACCTTCGTTTACGGGGATCAATAATAGGCGAATTAAAAACAAGTCTGCTGAAATGATTGTTTGGTATTCTGCAAATTTCATTGAGGTTCGCAGAGTACGGTACTCCATAAAATAGTTTGAGGTGTTTGATAACAATACGTAGCTGACAAATAAACTTAATGTATTTGAACGAAACTGACATATCCAAAAGCAACATTTGAAAAACAATGGCAAAAGAGGGAAAACCCTGAAGATTTTTTTTCATTTTAGATAAGCGCTTCTAAACGTTGGGATTTGCACATTAAACTTTGGCTTATACCGCGCATTTTTAAAATCCAATTAGCGATTCGGCTCCCCATTATTTGTTATTAATTTTTAATTTTATTTATTGTTTATCAGGAAATACAGGTATTGCTATAACTATATCTGCTATGCTATATATAATATCTCTAAAGGGCTTACTTAATATTACGGCTAATTCTAATAGAAGACCTACTAAAAAAATAGATGAAATAAACAAAATAAAAATAAAATAAGATGTCAATAATAATAATAATAAAAATACTTAACTTAATTTCTAAAACATTTTCCTAAAAACCAATAAGCAAAAAAATATTATTTATTAATGAAAAACGACCTAAATGATGATTTCCAAATTTTTTATCGCATCTGTCGACGACTGTTGCATCTGTTGACCCCATAAAGTCGTTTATTAAAAAAATATTTCCTAGAGCATAATAATAGATATGGTACTTATATTTTGCAACATAACGAACGGACACGATCAATAACATATATTTATTAATATTTCATTTTTGTAATCCTGTTAATGTAATTTTTTTGAAAACAAAAAATGTATAACTTTCCAATTAAAAACGCCAATAAGAAAATAATGAAAACGCGACGAAACAAATTATAATTAAAAGATTTAGGTGAAGAACAATAGAAGTCAGAGAGAGAAAATCAATGAAGTCACTTTACTCTACTGTACTGTACTAAGAGTCACAATATCTACGCCTAAAATAAAATATTTTCGCTTTAAAATAATCAAAAATTTATCCCGAGGCTACGCTCCGCCGAAATCGTGTCAATTCTGTGTACTGCACGTCACTGCACGCCAGTAGAGAGCGCATTAAATTATTAGAATTTTGGAAGAAACGTCAAATGATCCAACAAAAACGTAATTAATTTATGTCCGGGCGCTACAGGTTGACCGATGTTTATTTTCAAAAGCATAAACAGTTTACAAAGATCACACGCCCGTATTGGTTACAGTTAACTATTAAAATAAAATTTCATATAAATATCACTTTTAAAGTACCTACTTCTTTTGTTTTGACGCATATTTGGTTAACAGCCTATGGTTAATGGTCGATGAACAAAAACACTTCAGATTTTTAAAATATTTCTATTACTACCAAATCACATGAAAATTAGCTTCGTCTATATTTGTGAACCAGATATAAAATGTTATGTGAAGTTATAATGAGTGATTGTGCGAATGACGTCATTTTTAGCCATGTTGGGTAGTTTTACGTGTTCAAAATGCAGACATTTTAAGGTTATTAATAAGTTAATATTTTCATTTTGATTAAAGTGCACGAAAATATATAAATATTATAAAATTCTTGTCCAATCGCAAACTTACATTATGTTATAACGAATAAAAATATATAACGAATTTATTACATTAACCTGAAGTCATGGCTAACTGGGACTAATTTTTGATGTCAAATATCGAGAAAAGCTATTAGAATTAAGTGTCAACGAATTCTTGTTCAGAACTACACTAAACTAACTAAACTAATTTCCATAAAGTTCGAATACAGGGTGCTCGAAATATCGCGGGCGCCTTACTTAATATTTGTTTATCACTCAATTTTGACAACTCTTTTTTGTTGGATAGATTTCACTGAAAGACATTAACGATGTTATTAAAATTAAATATGATTAGAGATGATTAGATACGAACTAAACAGACTTTACAATGCTGTATTTTTTTAAAGGGATTTTTAATTTTCATCTAATAATGAAAATAACATACCGTTTCCTTTGTAAAACCAATTTATATTGTAATTTTGTTTATATTCTATCTTTCGAATACTTAGATTCATTAATGCTGTTGCGTTAAAATGATACTAAAAAATAAAGGTCCCTTAAAAAGCCCTCTTGGTCATTACTTTTGAAATTTGTATAATTAAAATTTGTAAGATCTTAAAAACACATACCAAATAATCGTTATTTACAAGGTTTACAATATATATTTATTTTTTTAAAACATAAAAAATTTTGGTCATTGGTTTAGGTACTTTTAGGTAGTCCTGAACACGGGTCTCGTCATTTTCTACTTGAAAAAATCTCTAAAAATTCTTCCCGATTTTCCACTTCAAAAACTGTGTGTTAGCCATGACTTTAGTCGATGCTATACAAAAAAACCGTTTCATTTCTCTTTAGTAAGATCTATCCAGCAAAAAAAAAAGATCCAAATTGAGCCATAAAAAATTAGTATAGTTAGGTTTAATGTAGTCCTGAATAAAAATTCGTTGTCACTTTCTTCTTAAAGAAATCCCTAATAGCCTTTCGCAATATTTGGCATCAAAAATTAGTCCCAGTTAGCCATGACTTTAGGTTGATGTAGTCAACAAAAACAAGTTCTCAAAATTATATCGTAATCAAAGATTTTACAACGACGTACACCGTATTGAAAAATTAAAAAAATTGGTATAGTTGGATTGGATATTTTTTTAAAATGGCCGTGACTTTAAGTTGAATCAATAAGCAAAACAAGATTTTAGTGCATTTTTCAGGGTTCTATCCAACAACAAAAAAATCAAAATCAACCCATGACAAAGATTTCACAAGCCTGTACACTTCTTAATTGGAACACACTGTATATTTACTAAATACTTCATATGGTAAGGATTTTCCAAGTATCTGTGTGAACTAAGAAATATCAACACTCCTTTAGCACAAATCATTTAATCCAAAACAGCTCCTAAATGTACCAGTCATCCAGATATATCACTACACGTTTTTCTGTCTTCATTTTTACTCCGAAACTTCATTATGATGATGTCGAGGAAACGTCGAATTTGAGTTAGCAAAATAACGATAAAAAGTGACGAAATTTTGAATCACGATTTGCGTTGAGTTACCTATACAAATAAAATAAATATTGTAATTTATCAAAATTAATAAGAAATAAAAGTTCAGATTTTTACGAAATTATATATTTTGTCATGTCAAAATATATAATTGAAAATGTATTTTCATCAAGTAAAAGCCACCTCAGTTCAAATATTGTAATTTATCTTTGGGCCAGTGTAAAGAAGCCCAGTTTTCCTTGCTATTGTTGTTATATAAAAGGCGTCAAAGTTTTGTTGTAGTTAGGAAAAAACCTTTTTTGAATTATGCTAATCATATAAAAAAAAATTTTTTTATTCAAGAGCAATTATTTGCCTAACAATTGCAAAAGGTAATATTTCAGTACGTAAGTGTTTGCAGAAAGGCAGAAAGAAATTTTTTGAAAACGCTTACCAAAAAGAAAATGCTAATGAGCCGTTTAAGAACGTCTTATTTAAGGACGTGAATATTATGACGTAGAGTTCGCGTGGTCGATGAGACGTCAATTATTAGGTCAAACTCAGATAATAATCACGCAAGAAGGACGTTACAAAATAGACGCCATAGTGAACAATTGTGAAGTGACTTCGACGTATAATAAACCTTTTTTGGTACCTGTCACATTTCAACAAATATGTCTCCTTGATGAAGTTCAACCGTTGTTACTAACCTTTCTCATTATTATTAACTATAATTTTGGACCCAGTTTCAATTCTATCCATGTGTCAAGGAATGTTTTCATATTTTTTGACTTTCTGTGACAGCCCAAAACACACAATTTTGATACATACCTATGAATCTATCCAGAAAACCAATTAGAATATTTGCGAGCTCTCTTCTACTAACTAATGCTCTTGTATTAGTCTAGCTAGATCCCATGAATGCAGCAAAACAGTAATCCGAATTGTTTCTACATTTGACGTTTCCTATTTATTTACTGTATTCTGACGTATTTGAAGGAAAGTTTCCGCCGCATTTTTGGGATGTCCATTATTTATTCATTGTTTTTGTCCAAAATACATATAAGTAACTAAACTAAAAGTGATCATTCTTCGTGGTAAATGTAATAATAAACTGAGATCAACAAACGTTCAAATAACCTATCGGTTGCTAAGTCCTAACTAACAAATAACAATTTTATACAGAACGTGAAGTATCCGGAGCATTGTGGTAAAATCAACACTTTTCTATCTTGCTTTCTACAACGTTGACGTAATGACTACCGGTCGAGGAGCTGTGTAAAAAATTGTGCTCGCCCAGAGTTATTTCTATTTTCTCTATCGGATTAAATGTTTCCTGATCTTTCGTCTTTTTAATGTTGGAATGAGGGTGTGCTTGCGAACCCAGTGACGTCAACGTGGACAACTGAAGATTCGTGACGATACTTAAGATATTCAACTTCGCTTGGGGAATCAAATGGGGCGGCAAACGCTTTACCGTTGCAGTAATGCTTCTCATAAATAGATCAATTTCATCCTCTTCCATGTTCTCGCTTTCGTGTATGTCTAACAAAAGTTTTTCCTCTGCCGACAACGTTAAGTTGGTACTACTAAACTTTGTAACATCTGCGTTAGCACCGTCCGTAATATTATCACTAAGTACAAGCTTTTTCTTTTTAAATTTTGAGTTTTGACCGGCGGCCGCAGATTTAGACTTGTTGGCAAGTTTACCTTGCTTGCGAGTTTTGATTGTTGCTGTTCGACTTTCTTCTTGGTTAAATTCTCTTTCTAATTCCTCGTCTTCGTCGGGAGATTCCTTCGCCTTGCCTAAGGTGCTGAAACGGTAAACGATATTTTAGCAATTAATCTTAATTAATATAAATCGCTAGGTTTACCTGAAGTCGTCGCATTTGTTGTCCAAAAATAAGAGGTGCTTGTAAAGACCCCATTTTGGTGATTTCGATCCAGATGATTTCGGTAGTCTTTTTTTAATTTTGTTGTAATTGTCTCGTATATTTCTCCAGCGAGTTTTACAGTCCTCAGCTAAAAGAAAAAAATACCTATGGTCAAAATGTATTTTGACTGATATAAGAACGATATAAAGGGTTATGGGTATTCAGCTACGCCATTATCCGTTACAAATATACTTTACTAGTAACATTTCCTGAAGGTTTAGATCTAACCGCGCAAAAAATCAGGAAATAAATTATTCTTTGGCCGGTTTCATTTCATTTTATCATTAAGGCATTTTTTGTCAAGCGGAAAAAAGGTTCCAGTTAACCTTATTATTTTAGGGATCGGAAGATTGGTACCGCATGACGTTCACCGACTATTGTTTCATAGCTGTACAGCCCATACGGGTAAATATAGTAATCCACAATGAGAACACTCCATTCCTCTATTTATTCATACGATCAAGAGAAAGACAACAATTTCCAATTTTTTTTCTCATTTACCTCACTTTTCTATCACGCTGATGCTATTCTATTTTAGATCGAATTCACTGTAACTATGTAAAGATTGAAATATTGTCCTGATTCGGCTCTAAAGGCCGCGTTTCGCTAGCAATGGCAACCTTTTTCAGACGTCCTTCCATCTCCGATGTTGCAAGCTTGCCACTAGTCTACGAAGATAAAACGACTTCTGGTGAAGTTTATATTTATAAAAATATAACTTACCTAACCTAACCTAACGCAAATCTAAAGGATGGAAGGGGGAGCGAAATATTATGTGCTAATTTTGAAATAATTTAACTAATTGAAAGTGGGTGAGAATTAAAGATAATAAATTCTGAAACATTAAATTTTTCGGTCCATCAATATCGCAAGCAAGCTCTAACACTGTGAGGAAAAGAAGAATATAAATGGACGCAAATAAAACAAAAAATTTAAAAGGTTTTTATTGCAAATATAAAAGAAAACTTGTAACTTGAAGTTTTAGCGTTAATTATCATAAGTTCGCTTCCTTTTTCCCTCTTCGTGGTTTACATTATTAGTTATACCCGAAAGTGTTCCAATCGATCATCAAAAAAGACTAGTTCTACTGATTCGAAAACTATAGTGGAACGGTTCTAAAAAAATAGGTTGGAATATCCCATATTGGCGAAAGGTAAGGACTTGAATTGCGGTTAAGATTGTGTGGTTTGTTTAATGATTTCTATGGATTCTCGGATTTTTATTTGGTAGAACAATTTATTACATGCAAGAATTTTAGTTTGATATTGATTTATTTAATTAAATTCACAACCATATTGGCACCCAAAAAAAAATACATGTTCAACAAAACAAAAAAGACCTACAAACAAATACAATACAATACAAATAATACATAAGACAAAATATAAAATTTTCTTCACTCACACCACTTATACACTGCCTCAGCAATCATTCACCCATTCTCCTTCGATCAGTATATTGTTTTACTCAATAATAATTTGTCTAGTGAGTTTTCAAATTTGTTTTCATTGGTAATAAATCTAACAGAGTATGATAAGTGATTATAAATAGGCATTGCATAGCTGCTTCTTATTGTACCTATGCTGTGGCGTGAATGAATGGAACCTTGAACTTTAGCAGATGTTCAAAAGTTCTGTCAATTTTGTATTGATCCAATGCAAAACATATAATGAAATCACAGTATGCATCTTTAGTACCCTAAAAAGGTGAAGGTTTTCTTTTTAAAAGTTAATGTTAATATGATTCATTTTTACCTCCTCCACGCGCCAATGCCATATAATAGGGCGGAATTAACATATGCACAATAATAGGATAGCACAATTTCTCTATTTACAAAATTTCTCAGCTGCTCGGCAGACTCTCTCAAGATAGGTTGAAATCTAAATTTAGGGGCAAGAATTTTACTACAATTATGTAAAAAAAATGGAGAAGTTCTATCCAACGTGTGCATGCGCGAGATTTAAAAATTCGTTCTAAACCAATGCCAGCTGTAAGTGCAAATTCTGACGTTGAACCCATAAGACCTTGAGGCTTTCAACAAGCCGCTGACATATCTTCAATGTTCGGATGCGGCATTTTTTCGGCAATATTTTCTCAAAAGGTCTAGAAAAGCAGTGCAGAATTGTAGCACTCACTTCGGCATCATAATTCTGTAATTATTTTGGCGTTTTTTTCTTTAAGCGCTGTAGATACGATGCAATTTCTACATGTATCTTTTCAAGTAAGCTATTTTTTTTTCGATTTTTTTTTGCTTGTAAATCGACGCAAAGCGTTAGTTTTCATAAACTCATAGGTTTAACCTCTATTGAAAATGTAAACAAATTCGAAATCACCAAAGATGGCTGTGTAAAAGTCTATATACTACTTGAGGGCTGACGCATGCGCAAAAGATCCTTCTCTACGAATATGTATATCTAATAGCTATATGGAATATATGCTATATATATATATATATATATATATATATATATATATATATATATATATATATATATATATATATATATATATATATATATATATATATATATATGTATATCGCTATATGGAATTCATAGGCCCTCTTTCTGCATCCGTCCCTCCAAATATGAGGATAAGCCAACTATAAGGCAGACCCCTCACTCCAAATTTAATAAGTTACCGCTTTAACCATTAACCATTTCAAATGCTCGTGAGTAATCCAAAAACAAGCCGGTAAGTTTTTCATCCAGTTTCCGAATAATGAAGTTTATTATGTTTACGTTAGCATTCTGTCTGGACTTGAGTTTTTGGATACCGAAATGACCCTTAAATAAGCTATTGAACTTACGTAAAAACTTAGAAATAAGTCAAGAAAACAATTCAATCAATCAAAGAAAAATTCGAGAATCAGTAGACATCTCTAAACGACCAATGTCCCTCCTTTAGCTCCGGCCCCTCAAATAGCACAGATAGCACACAATATCCCCAGTAATTCATGTAATTCAAGGCTTTATGGTAATATACAACGTAAGATTTGATAAATTCTAAGCTGAACGAACCATTGTTGTGTACTCTACCAACATCACGCCTTGTTTTTTATTATTTTGTTAAGCCAATGAGATATCAAGATCAGGGAACCAAAACTAGGAAAATTTTTGGTCGGCAAAAAATATTGCATTAAAATAGGCCTTTACTGTCAAACTGAACAGTCATATTTGTTCTAGATTTTTTTCGCGCGATAGTATCTACTTTCATGAAAGAGATCTTACCGATGAGAGTCTAATGAGGTTTGTATTTAATGGAATGAAATACAGAAATATATACCATCATTTAGATTAAGCATCTAACATCACTTTCATCAGAGTACTATCAGCGTCAAATCGAGCCTTTTTTTTAAACATATAAGATACCAGTCTCTTTTTTTTTTTTTAAACTTTCTCAAAACTAAAATATTTTCAGATGCGGATAAGATAACACACCACAAACATCAAAAGAATGTGAGAATTCAATAGATGCTGAAAAGAGCTACTTTCATCAAAGAATGACAGAAAACGTGTCAAATATTTGTTATTCTTTTAGAGTTTAGTTCAAGATATAGTATCTTACTCAATTTTTAAGATACATATTTTTGCTATATTATATACTACAATTTTTTCATATCTACAATAGAAAAAAATGTGTATAAATTGTGTTTTAGTAATGCTATCACAGGCGAGTACCAAATACTGGAATAGAATTGTTGTAGTCGTACAGCCAATTTTACTACTGGACATTTCCTTTCCAGTATTTCTCATAGGCTGTTGTAAAAAACCTAATAATTAAGTAAGGTCCACTGGCATATCTATATAAGATGCTATATCCTCACAGTCGGATATACGAACGACGTCTCAACTAGTATAACTTAGTATGCCCTAACAAACATCCTGCGTCGTATATCCTTGAGGCGTCTCAAGGTTGTCCCTTAGCCGAAACAGTATATCCCTAGGATATACGCTACGTCCCGTCAGATATCCCGATGACGTTTTACGGACGTCCTTGTGCTATTTGTAAATAAACTTAAACAATATTTCGCATAGACGCGCGGCCAGTGAAACGATACACCGCGAAAACGAACGCAAGCACCCGAGAGCTTAACCGTCCCGTTTCGATCCGCTTCAGCTTACCGACTTTCCCGATCTCGGTCGCGATCTCACCCCACGCTACTTCCCTCAACAGCATGTCCCTGTAATCGGCATGATTGTGGTGGTACAAAATCGGATACTTTTCGACTTGCTTCACTAACGAAATGTCGTCGGTGCAGTTGAACCTCCTAGACATTCTCATCGCACAGTCTGACGAATTAACGTTGCGTCTGCGATCGAACTGCCGCCGCCACAAACTCGTTTCTCCGCAGCCAGTTGCTAGAGCCTTCAAAATAAAACGCAAACGCTGATCGCAACAGCGGCGTCGCTAGCGACCGGGCCGACGAATCCCGAGGGTTCTGCACGGTGTTAAAGCGAGAGAGGTGACGGTTGTTTCCGCCGTCGCTGTACAATCGGCCGTCTCAACGATCGTGTCTCGTCGCGTTGCGGTTCGCGTCTAGCACGGTGGGGCCCGGGCACGGAGAGGCGGTCAATGCCGCCATCGCGGCGCGCGGTTGTTACGGGCGTATCGAATGCGGCGGCATAAACGTTGCGATCCGGTCGCCGTCTTGTCATTTCTTTGCACATGGCCATGCTTGTAATATTCTGTAGCGTGTTCCCATCAACATGTGTGAAGACTAGGGATGGACGATTACACAAGTCTGCAAAATTGAACTTTTTGACAGATGTTTTTATTTTGAAAATTTATTTTATATAATTTTGGTAGGCTGATTTCAAAAATTCTATGCATTTATTTGTATCACGATATTTCCAAAATTATTTATTTTTTTATTCAGTAAAAAAGTGAAATCCTAGTTAAAAAAAAGGTGAAAGAAAACTTTACAGACTTTTTTGAGTGAAATCTTCATCTTTTCGCCAGAAAGCTGCATTGTCCGGACACCTGTGTGTTTTTAAGGGCACATCCCGTTTTAACATCCAGCAGTAGTCCTCCATTATCGTTATGCTCCATCTGCCTTGGTATCGTGGTTCCATTTTCCCCAACGTCCTGGTGAAACCTGTTTCCCTGTTCTTCACTAAATGCTCCAAAATTTTTAGGAAAATAGTTAAAATTGGAAAACAGGAAATAAACTTTCAAACGCATATTACATGTCTTTTATATTGGCATCAGATATGGCTGGAAATTTCTGCTTCATCAAGCCAAGTTTGATGCAAAAAGGAGTCAGTAAAACTTGTTTGGGGTCAACTAAGCTATCTCTTAAAACATTTTTGCTACTAGGTGTAGGACCTGTTGTAGAGGGCAATGTCTATCTTTTGCCCGACTATCTCAGCACTTTAAGGTCACTACAAAGCATCCACTGATATTCTTGGTACTTTATTTTTTTCAAAAGAAGTCCTAAATTTTCATGCGTTTCTTTTGAATGTATAGAATGTGCAACGAGAACCGAGGCCAGTTCGTTACCACTTTGCAAAAAACCGCTTGCTAAACTACGCTTAGTGAGAGTGAATAAACAGGCGTCATTCTTCTTTTATATGCTGCACATTTTCTAATTTTGAAACTAAGGAATATTGTTGCAATACACTAGCGGTCTCTCCTGAGTAAAAGATTGACATAACTCTTTTTCTCAATCCCAGTAAAAGCTTGATGTGACGCCAGGTGCCAGTAAATGCTTGTCACGAAGTGTGAACGCCAACAATTCGGATGTATCCTTTGTAAGGTGTAAATCATTTAATTCGCTCTGATTAAACATTTTGCGTTCTCTGAAATCTGGTGAGAGACCTGAGTCATCTGGGTCGGAATTAGATTCCTCTGATTCTGACTATATGACGTTTTCTAGTTATTTTGGGGCGGAAAGTCGAATGGCAGAGTCAAGATTGGGATATACAATTTGTTTCTTATTTTCTCTATTGAATCCTTGAACATTACACCAACAAAAATAACAATCATTACTTTGCTTAAACATTTCTTTCTACCTTTTTGCAAGTTTCTTAATCCTTCAACGCAAACGGAACAAACAGTATGAGGAGCCCAGGACTTGACTTGGTCGCCAATTTTTACACCAAAATAAGCGTGGTATACATTTTTCACAAAAGAAGTTATAGTTTGCCTTTGCTTTACTTTGCTTAGTACATAACTACCACGCAGATATAATAAAAGTTATTTGGATTGTTCACACAATGTCTTAGAACGCAATAACGAAGACAACAGATACGAACCCAGTAGCAACACGACCAATACAACCAAACTGCGCATAAGCAGGTTACAACGCTTCTGCGTCAACGCTGTTGCTTTGCTGAGAAATGTAATTTTATCCAGTGGTGTCAAATCACATTTAATTTCATATAAATCAATTCATTTAAAAATCGTGCCTAACATGAAACAAACATATTCATATCAAATAAATGTTGCCGGATGAGTTCCAAAGGAAAATGATCAATGGTGTCGACATTTTTCAGCCTTGCCAGAGTTAACAGCTTCATTGTGAGTACACATTTTTTAAGAATATCACCAATCTTATAGACCCTTTAGAATGAGTGAGTGCATCCTAGCTGTCTGTTAGTAACTGATCCAACTCTGGCACGACGAATTGTCCGCCCCATCAACTTTCGCAAAAACTTCTAATAAATCGCCAACGGCAACGGAGTGTTGCTTCTATTAGCGTTGTTGCTTCTACTAGTGGAATAGTAGAAAAGCGATTATTGCAATTAATTTTACCGCCAAAAAGATCCATAGGATAATTACATCTTGTTGGATCATGGAGATCCACTACTCAGCTCACCGAAAATGATTGTATGTATGTATGTATCAATCCCTGATAAGGGGTTTCGAGAATTTGTTGAATCCATTGTATTCGGTTCCGTCTCGAAAAATGCAACTAACTCCTGAACCATATCAAACTGTAGATCATGTAAGTGTAACAAAAGATCTACACTACACTATATTACCGGAACTAGTAAATTTATAGACAATGCACAGCTACATTCCTGAGCCTTAAAAACCAGTGAAGTACAAGGAAGCCAAACTGGATCAGATTTAGCATCCCAGTTAATGGACATTTTTATCAGTGGCATATTGCTCAGAAGATCGCCACGGTGGTTTCAGATAATGACGCAAATAGAAAATCGGCTATAAACGATCATTTACCTAGACATCCTTGTGTAGCGCATACTCTAAATTTATCACTAAAAGACGGACTTGGACAAAATAGTGAGTTGATGTTATATTCGTAGAGAAACTTTCAAAGATGCAGCAATAAATGAATTCTTCCCAATTAAAAGTGAAGCCACGCGGAACTTGATATATATAATGATTGATAGATTAATTGGCATTGTCGTAAAAACAGCTTGGGTAGTTTGAAGCGATTTGTGAACTTTTTGTAAAAGCTATTGTTAAAAAAGTTTTTGCTTCCGGTTATATGTAAGAGAAATTCTCAAACCCGCAATCTTAACTCTATTTGTCTTCAATTTTGATGGTCTGTCTGCTTCCTCTTCCTTTTGTATTTTCCTGCTTGCACTCCAATTTTAGTGCCGGAAGATGAAATTCTTTAATTTCGATATACGTCTCTCTTAAAAATCGTTTCGTAATATATCCTTTTACAAGTTAAATAAAAACATTTCTGTATTAGTAATGATTCAAATTTATTTTACTGTTAATAAGCCAACAGAAATATTATTTTTGTACTGCAAAGAATTATCTTGTTATTGGTACCGAATTTTTTTTGTAAAAAACTTCCCTATCGCTTGCATTTTTTGTCTCGGTGTTTTGGTTAGTTTTCGGTTTTTCTAGATTTGGATTTTTTTGATGGACTTTTATGCAAAAGGGAATATAAAACGGTGAATCAATAACGAAGCTTTAAAATTTTTTGTTTCATTTTATGCGAAATAGTGGTTAACATAATAACAAAATTAATTTAAATTGTAGTAAACATCGTAAAATAAAATTAATTAACAATTATCAGCATACTTCTTAAACCTCATTAAATTATTATGAAATTGTTTAACTTAAATTATATTAGAAAAAAGTATATACAAATATATAAAGAGTTTTTTAAATTGACTGTAAAATAAAGCTCCGCTGCATAACACTCCGTATCTTTTTTGCGCAAATCTTGATAAAAGAAGTATGAAATTGGAAAAAATGGGAGTTATTACTGGTCGATTTAGAATAACTGTATTCAACTTTTCTTTATTTATATATTACAAAAATGAAACATACAGACCTTACCATTAAAAAAAAAAAAAAGAAAACGATATTTCTCCTGACCCCTCTGTGCTTATTCTAAAACTATTTGCAACTTTTGTTTTCAGTTGCTTTTCAACATGTGCGAGACAACATCGGCGACTTAGATGCCGATGTACAAAATGGCTTCAATGAGACTGATTTGATATTCCTCAAGGGGCTGATGGACAGTCCCGTTATTAAAAGCCTAGTTCAGGTTAGTACAAAAGCCATATTTGTGTTCTTTTTTTGCAAAATTTGTTATGTTGTGTCTAAATAGGTTTCCAAAGTTAAAATTATATTATCTTTGTAGATTTTATTATTTAAAAAATGAATTAAAAAGACGCTGCTCCTCAAAAACGAAAAGAACTGCGGAAGTTCTTTTTGTGCCACACTGTACGTATATACTTTTCCTCTTGTATATTGACGGTTTAGATTGTTTGAGTGGCTCGGACCAATTGAAAAAAACAGCGTTTAAAAAGTTTGATGATGACTTTACGGTATCTATGACCAGTAGGTCCGAAAGCCAAATGAAACGTGGTTTTGAGTGAGCTGAACTCTTGGTTTATCTTATACCTTAATCCACGAAACATATCTTTTATAAGATTGCATCATAGTCATACTAAAGATTTGCGGTCAGTACATGATGTAAAGTTTCTTTGAATATTCATAGATAAAACATGAATTTTAAAACTCATTGCTCTTCTTTGATATCGAGGTTGGGAGCCAACATCTATTTATTACATAACCTGAAGGATTTTTTAACATAATTATCAGAATCGAGTGTTTATTAGGCGCATGATGAGAGTAGACGTATTAGTGGTTCATAAGATGTATGGCCGGTATTTCCAAATCTACTTCACAAAGACGACTTTAAAGTTGCTTATACAAAATATAATAGTTGTTATAGAAACCCAAGTCTAAGTGCCGTGCGATTTTTTATCCCCTTATCAGAAGAAATAAAAATATGTGATTAAATGCCTGTGCTTAGTAAAAGAGTGCTTCAGTTAGTCTTTTTGCTTCCTTGTTTATATGTTACTGTTTGTAGTCTTGGATTCTGCCTCATTTTATTTTATTTTTTGACAATTTCCGATTCAAACATTATACTTGTCGATTGGGAAAATAAAGATTATTATTATTATTATTGTTTTTATTAATATTATTATATGGCATTTAGTTCTTCACTATAAAATTAAAATGAGCTTCTAATTTTGAACTATATTCGATAACATTTCTAAATGGAGTGCTGACTCAGCTAGATCGCAACTGCTGGAGCGAAAACTGCAGCCCCTTCCACATCGCATCGGTAAATGTTATTCGATAACAGGTTATCGTTGTCGAAACGTCATTCTCAATGTTATTAAATAAAACTATTATGCAAATTACCGCAGACGCCATTACTAGACGCGCATTAAGTTTCAAGTCCAAAGTAGCACTTTCTTTTTCACTCGAATACCCTTTATACGCGCATGGGCAATTTCTCAGTCTATTGAAGGGTCAGACACCCCGCGTCGTGCAAGTGATTCTTCCGGTACGGAATTTTCGTGCACCTTTTTTTTTGTTATAAAGACGGTTTTATCGAAGTCGAAGGCTCTTCGGGTTCGAATTTGTGATACGAACGTTGAAGTGTTGTTTTTGCGAAAAATCTGGCGATAGTATCGATCCCGCCATGTGCTCCCTTTATTTACAGCTTACTGCAGCGGGAATTGATTGGAAGTCCTGACGCGCTACAAGGCGATGGGGTGACGTACGTAACATAATTCGAGAGAACATTTTGACAAATGACAAAACACATATTAACATAGTAATAATTAGTGAACTAAACCTTAGAGAAATACCAAAAATTCAACAAAAAGTAATTAACTTAAGAAAAACAATTTTCTATATACACAATGGGCTATTAAACTGGGGAACTATTAAAGCAAGCTCTTCCATTTAAAAGAAAATATGTTTGTTTGAGTGTGTTTTGTACAAAATGTCTCAGTAAAAGTTTTAAAATCTAAGTACAGTTACCACATATACATTTTTTCAAGTAGTAAACGAGCTTTTAAAAGTTAAATGAATTTTACTCATAGTAAAGTAAAATAAAATTTGAGATATCAAAAAATGTTATTAAACATAGTGGTCAGAACTAAAAACTATACTCAAGTATGCAGTATCATACATTTATATTGAAGATAGGTTGGAAAACCTTCTCATTTCTTACTCTTTTCTAAAATGCATCAAAAATTTGCGTGGTTATTGCACCTAGACATCATTTAAAAAATGATTTTTTTCATGTAAATGGATATTTAAAGTAGTTTTTATTTGTGATAATCTTTTTTTTTAAACATTTTTTGATAATGACAAAACTTTTTATGATGCAACAGTTTTTTTCCTAAAATTATAAATAAAAATGTCTCTCATGTGGTACCAATTTATTGAGATATGTTGTATATATAGGGTGACCCACTTTGAGCTCTGGCCAACTATCAAAGTGAACTGTACAACGTCATCAAAACGTGAAAGCCGTCGAAAACTATTTTAAATGCGTTCTAAATATCATTTCCTTGCGATTTGTCTCCGAAATATTTAACCGATCGCCTATATTGTAAGCAGAGCGAATCGGATTCGTAAATAAACCTTGGTGTTTCTGCAATTCGTAGCTGAAATCGATAAGACATAGCTAATTGTTTTTATAACTACAATTGTTTTCTAATCTGGGCACTATTTTAAACAATATAAAACATGTCTTAGATAGTAATAAAGTTCACACAAATTCAAATAATACTGGTACAGATTAGATAGATAGATTAATTAGAAAAATAGCTCTTTATAAAATGTAAGTTGTGATAGCGACTTGTCATCCAATATACCGTATTTTCCACTATGTTAATAAAATGAAAGCTAATTCATGTCTGATTACCCTCAAGTTTTTAATTCAATTAGGGTTTCCAAAAGTAACCTGATTAAAAATAAGAACAAAACCTAAGAACAGTTGCTAAAAATTAATGATATGTATACTAAACACGATATATTATTTTTTATTGATGTTTTTAACAAAATCTGTTCCAAATCAGCCTCGAATAAACAACAAAAACATAAATAATGGTAAATAAATTACAATATATATTATTATCTACTCCTTGGCAGCAAGTAATTTTAAGATTATTGCAAATAAAGAAAATATCTATTTAGAAATTATTTTAATTTACAAATTACAAACTTAGAAGTTTACTGAAAGTCCTATCCATTAATATTATGATCACTTTGATTATTTTATGTAAATTTCAGGAAGCAAATTTACCGAGTTTCGTCAACTTTTGCAAAATACTCTCTATATGAACAAAAAAACAGATTATTTTTTAAGCCAAGTCATTTAGGACACGTGTATATAAATGAAGGCATAAAATGTTCCTTCGTCAATGGTGAATATTATGTTTAGAGACGCCCCGTATAATACATAAGTAATCAGCAAGAAATGGGAAATAAGAGAAAGTGGTTCTTTCAGACGTCACTGAAGCGCAATTTGCTGTAGGATTTCGAATTTCGCTGTTTGCGAATTCCCGTACCTTAATCTCCCGGGATATAACCTTTCACCTTTCCTGCGATCTCGAACCTACACAAGTTTCCTCATTCTCCACATGTTTAAGCATTGGCCATATTACGGTGCTTGAAGCATGGGAAAATTGAAGTGGAAAAGATCGTTCAATTCAATAAAAATTAACTAATATTTGGGTAGTGTGGATGGACGTAAAATATTTTCTGATTTTTTGAAGGCAGTTTGCTAGCTGCGATATGATTCCAATTTTTTTCTTTTCTTTTCTTCGCACCGTTATCATAATAGTCAAGATTATGCATTTAAGATATCAAGGAAAAAAGAACGTTCGAAAATACTACATTTAATGACAAAATAGGTTATACGAAGGCTGCCTTTTATATTTCAGGATTTATTTAAACTAGTCCTGCCATCTGGCGACTGACGTTTTTATAGGAAAGTTTGCCATTTTCAGGTTAGGTTTACTCAGTTAGGTTTTGACGAACTAGTGTTGTTTGTGTTTTTGGAGATAAATTAAAACAATTGTGACGGTTAAAAATGGAACTTAATCGGGAGCATTTTTGTGCAATAATTTTTCACAACTTTAGACTTGGAATAACTCAACAATAATGCATCTATGAACTTAATTTATTTAAAGCACCATCTAGGACTACTGTTTATCGCTGGTTTTCGGATTTCAGTCATGATCGTAGTTTTCTTAAGGATAAATTTCGTGAAGGTCGTTCAAAATCGGTGGTTGTCCAAGATTGTGCAGGATCGTCATGTGACTTTCCATGGGATTGAGGTATCTTTGGGCATTAATGGGATTAGCAAACATACAATTTTGCATGAAAAATTTGCTTGCATTGGATTCCACACAATTTGATATCAGCTCAAAAAAACTAAAGAAATACCATCACGTCGTTTCCAAACACCACTATGATGTTGTGACAGGTGATGAATCATGGATCTATGTATATGAACCTGAAAGTAAGCAGGACTGTGTTGGTCTTTCAGAATGATACAAAGCCCACAAATGTTGTTCGTGCGCAAAGCACCTCAAAACAAATGGTAGCCTGTTTTTTGAGCAAAACTGGCAACTGCAACTGTTTCTTTGGTGAAAGATAAAACAGTCTATTTTGAATAGTACACAACCATTTGTTTGCCCAAAGTCTTCGGAGAAATTAGAAAAACAACCGCCTAAGACGAATCACTCCCCACGACGACAGTGCTAGCTCTAACCGATCAGTGCAAACTTTTTGAGCATTAAAAACGGTGATTTTATGAGCCATTCATCATATAATCCTGATTTAGCATCTAATGATTCTTTTTATTCCCATACATTAAGAATAAGTTACGTGGGCAATGATTTTTGCCACCAGAAGAAGCGATTGATGCGTTTAAAAAGCATGTTTTGGAGGTGCCCGACTCGATGAGAGAAAAATGCTTTGATGATTGGTTTTATCGAATGCAAAAGTGTATTGATCATCAAGGTAAATATTTTGAGATACAATAAAGTCATATTTGTTGATAGCTTATAGTTTTTTATTGCAAATCCCGAAATATAATATGTAGCCCTCGTATACTTTACTAGCACCACCTTAACTGTTTTGGTTTAGGTCTTGTGAACTTATGTGAGTAGTTAAATGCATTACTTCCAAACATTATGTTTATATACGTGTAATAAAATGAATGAAAAGGCTCTACCAGATACTATCCCTTTTGTTAGCAGCAATGACTGTTTCCAAGTTTAATATTTGATTCCTAAATAATTATGATAGATTGACCACAATAGGTAATTTTAGCGATTTAGTCCTGGTCCTATAAATATGAATTAAATAAAGTTTCCAAACATCGATTTTAATAGAAGAATCCCAAAACTATATATTTTTAATAAAGAAATTATTGAAAAATACGATAACTTTTAAGATCCTTTATTTAGATGACTATAAAAACAACTTCAATATCAAGTCCTATGGGGAAAATGGTAGCACCAAAATTAAGTGGAAAAGTTCAAAGCATCCTGCGGATCGCCTAAGAATGCAGTTAGTTTAAATCTGCAAAAACAATGGGCGTACTTTAGAAACGTAATATCAAAATGAAATGAAACTGGAAAATAGTACAGAGAAACTTGCAGAAAGTGGATTCAGAAGAATGGATCTTATAAGGTAAATGATTTTAAACTTTATTCCGAAAGCTACATATTGAATGTAAACATTTTAGGCGAAAGAATAGTATTTTATGCAACAAGTGCGGTAAACGGCATTTGACTCGCGAGTTTATTTGACACGAGCGGAGCGCAGCGGAGCGAATTTTTAATAAACGAGTGAGTTAAAAAGTTTACCGAACGTATTGCAAAACAACACAAATATATTCACTGACACGACCGTCAGAATTGACATACGTCAAAGCGTGGGAAATATCTCCGAAAACATTCGATTGGTCCTAAATCCGTGCGGTATAATCTCGGAAATGTCCGAAGTGGTTCAGATTCATGGGAAACGAAACTGACGCTTCTCGCACGCTAGATCGGTGGGTAATTAGGTATTTTACAGACGGGAGTAAAAAAAAAGCCTTTGTTAACCGAGCGATAGAAACAAAAGCGCTCATCTTGGTGTAACGAACGTGTGGAATGGTTACAGGAACTGTGGAATTCGGTTATTTTTAGTGATGATTCAGTGTGGGAGATATTCGAAAAAGAGAAATAAGAACAAAAAATTAATCTTTACACAAAAACTGATTAAAGTTTGCTTCTGGGGAAATGATTTAGGCCTGTATGTCCGCCAAGGGTGTAGAAAATATGCAGTTCATAAATGGAGTATAGTTAACGCAGAGAACAATTTAGTTCCTAGCAATCAAAAATTGTACCCAGCAGAGATTTATTTTTATAAAACTATCCGAATTTTGAAACGTAAATTAAGAAACAATCCACAAAGAATTAACGATGGTTTAAGGACTAAAAGTAAGGAAGGGTAGGATTCAGTAAAACGCGCACTCTCGTGAACTCTGTGCCTAAAAGGTAACTTGAAGCAAACAGTGATGATGTTACGTCATATTCAATTGTTTAATTGTTTTAAATAATATAAAATAACACAACTAATATAAAAAGTTATTACATGGTCGGCCAACATTGGCCGACAATTTAATGTAGTTTAATAAATTGTTTCTTTATTATGTATGTTTAATTTATTTTTTTTTACACTCCATCATGATAAAATAAAATACTATGA